ATAATTTTTTAAAAATTAAAAAATAGATATATATATAAAAATGAACTTGTATTTACTATTCATAAAAAAAATAACTAAAATACATTACTCAAAAAAATAATTAAAACTTAGACTCAAAAAAATATATATGAGATATGTAAAAAATTCAAATCAATTTATAGTTAAATTGATCCACATTTAAAAATTTAATTTGTTTTGAGAAAAAATCTAAAGCAATTCACTTTATAAAATTAATTTGATTATCCAATCTATTTTTATAAAATTTATTAATTTGATTCGATTAATTATCTTAAAAAAATATTGATATTGTAAAAATAAAATAGATAAGTACAACATGCCAAATTAATTCATTTTAAAAAAACAATTCTTATTTAAAAAAATTAAATTGATTCATTTAAAAAAAAATTGTTCATTAATTTACTTTTATAAAATAAATTGGTTGAAATTAATTTAAATTTTTTAAAAATCCGATAAACATCCTAATATGATATGAACAGTTATCAAATTAACACGCTCTGAAATTTGTATAATTTGAATTTATTGTTAATAAATAACATACACCAAAATAATAAGATAAAGTTGCTCATAAACATTAAAGTGTGAAATGTTTCTAAATATGTAATAGTCGGTTAAATTAGAAACATGTAATATAAAACTGTCTCTTGAATTAGTAAAATGACAATATGATTCTAAAGTTATATTATAATAATTGATAGATATTTTTCTCCAATCAGGGGTTTAATTTTTAGTTGATATATATTAAAAAATATTTATTAAAAGACATTAATTTTTTAATATATCTTAATAGCTCAAAAAAAATTATTAATTTTTTTATTACAAGATATATCGGTTTAAATGTATTTTTAAAATCTTCTGGTATTTATTGATGACATACAAACATTGTTAAAAGGTTGAAAACAGCCAGACAGCGTGCATGGTTATTAGGTTGCATGAAATCAGAATATATGTAAAATAATATTTGTTTTTTTATTAATAAATGATTTACAATTTCAGGAATTATTTATATCTTTTTTTACTGGTCAAGACTAAGGGGGGTGTATTGGTTTAGGATTTCATAGGATTTTAAAAGAATTTTTTGGAGTAAAAAAATTCATTGATATTCAATCAGGATTTTATGTCACTTAAAAACAATCCAGTGGTATTCAATCTGGATTTTCAAGATTTTTTAAAAAGTCCATTAAAATCCATTGGTTTTCATTTGAGATTTTTTACAACTTAAAAACAATCTACTGGTATTCAAAAATATAAGGATTTTAAAGGATTGTTGTGTGAGGGGGATTTTGAAGGATTTTCTAGTGTTATCTATAAATACCATATTCATAAAACAATCTCATCCAAACCCATCGGATTTTGAAGGATTGTTTGAAGTGACTTTTCAAGAATTTTCAAGTGAATTTTTCATCTTTTTTTTCTATGCTCCTGTCTTCTCCATTTTTTCTCTGGTAATAATATTGCACTATTATTCATTGCTCATATATAATATTGTAGTATTGTTCTCATCCCATTTCCCTATTTTTTGAAACTCCGATATGTAAATGATAGTGTCATTGATTTGCTCTATTTTTCTGTTCATTCTCTTTAATTGACTTGCTTTATTTTATTTTATTCTATGTAGTTGAATTTGTTCCTTTATATCACAAAAAAAAATGCTTGAAATTTTAACTTTTAAGTGATAATTTTTTTTATAACACACGTCAAGAAAAAAAAAAGGTGAAAGATGAAATTGATATCATAATCTCTACAATATATAATATATAAGATGAATTTGTTAGGGTTTCCGTGAGTAGAATGAGATGAAAATGGATCTTAGTTGGGGGAAGAACCCTCTTAGCATAAAAACTGCAATTTCTCTCCTTCGCTTAAGTTTGTTACTCTTATCCCCTTCTTTTACGACTCAACAATTATTTTATTTTTTTTACTATGAATTTTTTTTATTTTTATATTGTAAAATTGGGACTTTTTATATTTAAAAAAAAGAAAATTAATATAAGATATTGCAGTATCTAATTTTTTAGGGTTTAGGCTTATTTTTTAAAAGAGGAAATATTGTTAAAATATTTGTTAGAATAATTTACATTTATAAATATTGTTAAAAATTATCATATAATATATAACTAAAATAATATATATATATATATATATATATATATATATATATATTCTATATATCTAAATGCTTATTCTTTAAATAATAATAATAATTATATATAATTATTATTATTATTATACTAATATTATATATATTGCATATGTAATTAGGTAAATATTTTTTTGGTGGATTGTAGATTTCTTAATCGACGTCAATTTTTAGCTCCATTTCGAGGTGTAAGATATCATCTACAAGATTTTGCAGGTCAGGGTAATGACCCTGAAAATGAGAAAAAATTGTTTAATCTTCGTCATGCATCTTTAAGGAATGTGATCGAGAAAATATTTGGTATTTTTAAATCAAGGTTCACAATTTTTAAGTCAGCACCTCCATTTTTATTTAAGACACAAGTAGAACTTGTGTTAATATGTGCAACACTACATAATTTTCTATGTAAAGAATGTCGTTCTGATGAATTTCTAATTGAAGTGGTGGATAAACCTTCATATTCAACGTTACCAGTTAATGAAGATCATACTTTTGATCCTATTATTCAAACCCAGAAGCAAGAGCGAAAAGACGCTAATGCTTGGAGGAATAGTATAGCTATAGATATATATGTGGGTGAATGCTATTTAATAGGATAAGATATTATGGTGAATTATTATTATTATTATTATTTATCTAGATATTATTATTTTTTATTATTTTTGTCTTTGACTTTTTTTAAATTTGAATGTATAATTTTTTTTTTGAAATTTTATCAAATGTCAAAAATCCACGAAAATTCTACAAAATCCCACAGAATCCATTAAAATCCTGATTTAAAAGTCTTGCAGAATCCATTAAAATCCTGATTTTAAGTCTTGTAGAATCCTGCAAAATCTTAAAAGTCATGAAAATCCTGCAAAGTCTTTTAAAATTCGCAGGATTTTTTTTAACTAAAAAAGTCCTTTAAAATCCTAATCCAATACACCCCCTATATTAATTAATAAGTTACAATATTGGTTACCATTTCATTATTTTATTGTTTAAATACCAATTTATTTGACTATAATATAATTTGAAAGATCAATTTATGAAGAACTATATACAAGGACCTGTGCGTCTACGTGGCCATCTCCCTGTATTGGCAGAAGCATGGAAAAAATGTCAACACAATCAAATGTATATCCATCCTTCACAGCAACTTCTACACGAACATATAATGACACAATAATTGAATCTTTCTTTTCATAATTGAATGAAGAAAATAAATAATAATCAACGTAACCCCATGTTGTTGTCACTACACTATATAAAATTATTATTATTAAAAGAAAATTATTTTATTAGAATTATAAAAGTTTAATCAATAGATATATCAACATAGATAAAATATGAATATAAGAGTATTATTATTATATTCATATAAGCCATATATATGTACATGTATATATAAAATTCAAAAGATAAATTATATAACTTACTATTGGTCAAACATATTTATACAAATCACACGAAATAACATTATTGACATCAATAAAATGGTCCCTCTATCTGATAATAATCACACTTCCAATTTGATCTTGATATGTTTCTATACGACGTATAATCATTGTTGTCTAAACCACATAAAAACAAAAATTCGAAAATATATAAGCATGAAAAACAATTTTATATCATATAACGTCATACCACAATCAAATATAAAAGCTAAAAACTTCAAAGTCAACATGTATATCATCCGATATGTAAAACATCTACCAATATATATAAATATGTTACAACATACATAATATGCATTTAACTTAAATAATATGTCATTAGTATTCATTTACGAAAATCTTTTAACAATGTGAGTAGTTAAGTGACTTTATCCTATCGAATCAATCTAATCGTTTTTGTGTTTAAAGTATCGACTCGATCACAGTAAAATAAAATAACAATTCATCATTTTATTTTTCAAGTTCTGTTACTTACATTAAAAAAGTATAGTCCTACTTTAAAAATAATACAACTACATATAGACTTATAAGAACCTTGATACTTGATAGTGTTTCAATCAATAATTTAATTTACACAAATTATTTTAATATATCTTAACTTTTATATTATTCATATGGTTAGAAAACTAATAATTCGTTATTATATATTAATACAAAATTTGGTCAGGTTTTTATTAGATTAAAGCCTCAAGTTGCAGCTCAGACAAACATCCATACGGAACTAATAATGACGGGAAATGAGAAAATCAGATAACAACCGAATAAATTTTGTTTACAAACACTTAAAAGAAAGGAAAATAAAACGAAACATGAAATAAAATTTTTATAAAATTAAAATTTATTTATATAGACTAATTTGTAAAAAATAATATATTAATTTAACACAAAAAATATATAAGTTGATTTTAATTTATAAAAAAAATATTATTTTATTTTATTCCTAAAATATATATATATTTAAAAAAGTTATTGAAACAAACCCTAAAATTAGGACTACTTTCCAGCTGTGTATAGTTCCGGATAGAAACACTTGCTTTGTTGTACTTAGCTTCCATCCCAGACAAATCGTAGGGTACAAGTAACGAGTACGTATAGGAAAAAAACATGTTAGCGGACATCTATTTTATGTATTAATCCATAACAAAATAGAAAGAATAAATTAATTTATATAATTAATAATATGATGTGATAAAAAAATATAAAAAAATGAAAATTATGTAACGAAAGTGTATATTGTTTGGATGATAAGAGAATCGTAGCTCAATACATATATATACGTGTTTATACGAAAATAGTTTTAAATATTCGAATATGTTTTTATTCAGGCTAACTTGGTTTTACTTCTCCAAAATATTGTCATCGATAACAATGTCTCTATTAATTGCGTTTTTCCTCTTGAAAGTTTCCTTAAACTAAATTTTGATACTTTTTTGATTCATCATGGTAATGCAACTTGTGGTGGGGTGCCCAAGAATTCTATTGGTACTATTGTGTTTGGTTTCTTTACTGAAATCGAGGCGTCCTCCGTTAATATGATTTAGTTGATAGTTATTGAGATGGGAATTAAATTGTTAGCTATTAGAGATTTTGCTGATATTTTTGTGGAATCTAACTCCAAGTACACAATTAACCTTTTTTTTGCAATGATTGTAATCATCGTCTTAGATATGCTTGAATTCTTGTCTCATGTTTTAATGGAGGTCAATCAAGCTGACATGTTTTTCACTATAATTTATATTTGTTTGATTTGTTTATTTGTGAGTTAGTTTTTAATTTTGCTTCCTTTAGCCTCTGTTTGTTTCCGCGGAAAGACTATTGCTGCAGAAAGAAAAGAGGGGTCACTTGTGTTTGTTTCGAAGGAAAAGCGAGGAAGGAAAAGCGAGGAAAAGCGGGAGAGACGTACGGAATGATCTTCGCTCATCAACGGAGAAAGGAGGGGAAATCTGGGGAAAGCCATGTCAGTTATGTGAAAAAGACCAACCTGCCCTCGACTACGTGGAAGCATCTTTCTACTGTTGCTCTGCATGCATGCACAGAAAGGACATGCAATTTCTACTGCTGCTCTGCATGGAAGGACAGAAAGCTCATGCAACACATGCAAACTCACGGGGGCACAGTTGAAGGTAGTAAAAGCTACCCATCTACCCCATTATGTACCTCCAGTTTAAAGCACTCAATATGTGCGTATAAGGACCTCCATGAAAGCTCTCCAAGGACGTCGCTCTACACAGGCTGAAGAAGGTCACAGAAGCTTTCCCCGTAGTTTCAACGTGCTGCCCTCCCAGGTATGGTGGCCGAAGGCAACGAGGAAGGAGAAGCAAACCATGGCAGAACGGTCCATGACATGGCTGCCGGAATGGTCGAAGGTCGCCGGAGGAAGCCATGGAAGCTGCAGGCTCACATAATCGATTATGCAGTCAAGCATAATCGATTATGGAGCGGCTGCATGCAGGGGGACGACGTCGGTTCCGGGGGTGGCGTGTCTCGTGATCCAGCGCCACCCTTTGCATCTCCCTTCCGACGTTGTTCCGAAGTCATTTTTGCATGATGTAGCAGTTGTTTTGTTGTTCCATTGCTAACTATGGCTTCTCGTGTTGCAGATTTGATTCTCCGACTCTCCGACGAAGCCGGCCGTCATCTTCTCCGACGACCTCCCGAAGGCAAAGGGCCAAGTCCGACGACGTGAAACCGAGAAAGTCAGAGGTAAGTATTTAATATAGTTTTGAGTGCTGAATAATCTGTAGTTTTGAATGGTGAATTGATGTGTAAGCTGATAGTTTTATAATAATAACATACATTTATATATATAACTATATAGATAAATATATAAATATATATATATATATAATGTTATGTATTTACTTGTTTATTTATTTTTTAATTATATATATTATATGTTTATATAGATAGGAATAATTCATATGTATATTTTGTTGAATTATTTTGTTATATTCTGTTATTAAAAATAATTATTGATTGTAATAATATGTTATATATATTTTTTAATGATGTTATATTAATTATTTATTGTATGAATATTATTGGTATGATATTATTATTAAGGTTAATATTATGATTTTTATGGAAAAAAGAAAACTATTTATATATATATATATATAAGTTAACAATTAAAATTAATAATTTAATATAAATATATACTATTAACCAAATATGAATTTAAAAAATTTATTAAATATAATTAGAAAGAATTTATTCATTATTCAATAATAATTATGTTATTTGATAGTTATATATGGTTAAGAAAATTAGTGTATTGAAAAAAATAATGACTAAAAATAAGTATGGTTTAGTACTTATTGAATACTAGAAAAAAAAATTTAATCAAAAATGTTGACTAAAAATATAATGTTAGACTTAATTAAATATTATGTGGGTTATAGTACAAAATTTGTAAATTTTATATTTGGTAAACAGTCAAAATAATTTATTTATCATAACTAAATAATTAAAATTAATAATTTAATATATATATATACAATTTACGAAAATATGAATTTGAAAAATTTATTATATATAATTATAAAGAGTTGATTAAATATTAAATAATAAGTGTGTTTAGGGTTAAGAAATTTGGACTAGATTAAATGGAATTATAAAGTTTACTTTTGAAGGGTGTAAGGTATAACAATTAATATGTTTAATTATTAATATTGAAAATGATTTACTGTTAGTAAATAATATCAAAAATTCAATATATTGCCAAAATATTATTTGCCATGTGGTTTACGACTTATGTATATGAAATTATAACATGTTTGTTTACAATGTATAGTATAGTAACTGATATTAAAAATATCAAATTTTAAGGGTATATCAAATATTTAATATAAGTTACGAATATGTTATACGTTTGAGTAAATGTAAATTGAAGTGATAAAAATTCAGATGGCAGATGAAGATATGGATGTTAATCATTTAGATAACGAAGATAGTTTCGACGCGAACTTAATTGCACAGATACAAAGTCAGGTACAAATGCAAACCCAAGTAGGAGCCATGACAATCCTTTGTCTTGTAGCTTTTGGGTTAAATATGTTGTCTACTGTACGTTGTACATCAAGTCATATTAGAGAATTCGTTTCTCAAAAAGAACGTCGTAGGCACGAGTTGATGTCGTATCTTATTCACACCGAACAATGTCGACACATTATTTGCATGGGACCTATGGCATTCATTACATTGTGCGAACGAATAAGAGGAACTGGATTGGTTAAGGATGCCTTCCGATCTATAGTGGAGGAACAAGTGGCTAAATTTCTCCATATTGTTGGACATAATGTCAAAAATCGATATGTTTCATTTTTTTTCCATCGCTCTGGTCAAACCGTTAGTCGACACTTTCATAACGTATTGAATGCCATAATTATGTTCGAGGGAGAGTTGTTAGTTCAACCATCAAGAGTAGATGTGCAGCCTTACATTCAAAACAACAGTCGATTTTATCCATACTTTAAGGTAATCAAAATAAAAACCCAACAATATTTTTAGCTAAACGTTATCAGTCATGATTAATAACAAAATTGTACTATCTCTGTTTTACTTTATAGGATTGTTTAGGGGCCATAGATGGAACTCATGTCCGAGTTAAAGTGCCACGATCTGATGCGGCCCGATTTCGTGGAAGAAAAGATTGGCCAACACAATGTTTTCGCAGCTTGTGATTTTGACATGAAATTTACATATGTTTTAGGAGGGTGGGAAGGGACAGCATCAGATTCAAGAATATTAAAGGATGCACTGAGTAGACAGGATCCACTAATCATACCACAAGGTTACTTATTTGTCATTTAATAACCCGTGTATGGTGACATATTTTATAAATTCTAACAAGTATAATTTCAATGACTTTAATTAGGTAAATACTACTCGGGGGATGCTAGATTTATGTTAAAGAGACAAATACTTACGCCGTATCGAGGAGTAAGATACCACCTTAAAGAGTATTCCCAAAGAGGTCCACAGAATCCACGAGAATTGTTTAACCACCGACATTCGTCACTAAGAAATGTGATCGAAAGAACATTTGGTGTATTGAAGAAAAGATTTCCCATAATAGCAAGTGGAACAGAGCCTCATTATTCTTTGGATACAATGACGAATATAATACTAGCATGTTGCATTCTGCACAATTTTCTTCGAGGGGTTGACAATGATGACTCCCTGTTAGCTGAAGTGGATCGAGAGTTGATGGAAGAAGATGTGGATACCATGTCTACTCAAGTGCGTGAGGAGGATTATAGGGAGGGGTCAAACCTAAGGGATTCTATAGCTAATGAAATGTGGAGAGATTATCAAAATAATTAGACATTGTATGAAATAGTGTATGAAATAAAATGTTTGTTAGTAAATGTATATATGTCTTCCATCACAACGTGTCATGCATAATATCGATATATCTTTATCATGATAACATTTGTTGTGTTTGTAATAGGTGGAAAATGAATAGAGGCAAGGCTATTGCACCTGAATCGTCTATTGCGGTCCGCGAGTTCACAAAATGGACAGATGAAATGGACTTTCGATTACTAAGTGCTATGCTTGATGAGGCTAGGTTGGGTAATCGGGTTGATGGTAGTTGGACAACCCAAGCATATAATAACATCGTTGAATCTCTCCGACAATCTGGATTAATTGGCATAACAAAAAATAATGTCAAAAATAGGCAGAAAAGTCTTAAGGATAAATGGCGTGAGGTTCACGATTTGTTTTGTGGACTTAGTGGATTCGCGTGGGATGAGTCTACAAAACGTTTTTCAGCTGAGCCTGAAGTATGGGATGAGTTGCTAACGGTAGTATTCTACACGTTGTTATTGCTTCAATAACTCTAACATTGTAATTACGACTGTTAATAATTCTCATTTTTGTATAGACTAAACCTTCCGCAGCTAAATGGAGAGTCAATCCCATCCGCTACTATGACTTGATGGAAGAATTGTGGGGTGCTGATCGTGCCACAGGCCATATGGCCAGGACAGCGCGCCAGGCACGTAGGAATATCACACCATCTACAGTCACGGTTGACCTTAACGATGATGCTGACACGATCCCAGAGGAGCAGCCATTTGATGCAGGATTTGATACAGCTTATCGATCCCCACCGCACGTGGATTCGTACAGTCCTGGTGATGGTACTCAGTCAATACCATCTGCTGCATCTACTGGTACTGGTGGCACATCGTCGTCGCGGGGCACGAAAAGAAAAGCTGCTATGGTTGATGTGATGGATGCCCAATTTGATAAATTGACAACGAAACTCGATTTATTTACAGATTACTTCGGTCGAGGTAATGACCTAACTGAGAGGTTATCTGACATTGTTGAAAGAAAGGTGGTCGCTATAGAACGCAAAAATGATTTAATTAATGAGCAAATAAATGTTATGAGGCGCACATCAACTGTTCAGTATTCAGAGTCAGATATATGGGAGATGTTAGTCGCCATGAACCTACCCGATGAGCAGATTATGGTTCAATGCTATGATTGGTTGTGCAATAATCCATCACATGTTAGGCGACTTTTTGGCTTGCCCTCACATCTGCGTCTAAACCAGTTGCTAAAGTTAATGGGTGCAAGTGATTGATTGGCTATCCGATAACTTGTTGTATTGTTTAGGGTTCTGTAATGTTTCAAATTATAATAACTTAAATGTAATGTCACAATTTCTCATTTATGTAACATATAAATGTACGGTTTATCCTGCAATGACTTTCAATCTTGTATATGAAAATATGTTTTATGCAATATATATATATATATATATATATATATATATATATATATATATATATAACTTTATATATATAATTAGGAACTATAATTTTTTCTTATTGAGTTGACTCATTATAAAAATAATTTTTTTTTTGTTTGAGTATCTAAGATTGATAGCAATGACTAATCTTCTCGTTACGTTGGAGGCACCTCAAAGGATGGGGTAGCTGACCCCAAGATTTAACGCGGCTGCATACATAAGGCAGGATTCGAACCCCTGATCTTACTTAAGCGTGGATCAACTCTTACCACCGAACCACACGAATGAGGTTTTATAAAAATAAAATATGATATTTTTATTTGCAATTGAATATCTGAGATTGAATTTTGGTTCATAATTAAAAAATATAAGTGTTAAATTACTTGTTTCTAACAATTTTGAATGAATAATATATCTAAAATTTAGTTAAAAGAAAGTAAGTTGTTATTTTTCTAATTTTTTAATTTTTATTTAAATAAATTGACTTGAATAGAATAAGATAAAGCCTTATATCTAAGAGATCATAGAATCGAGTTTCTATTCATTTTGTTAGAGTGAGATGAATGTAAGTACTTTTTAAATGCTCTTTGAATTTGCATGTTAAATCATTAAATTTCATGAAATATTTAATAAAGTGAAATTACTATTTATATTTATAATATTTGTAAATATATATTACATAAAATATTTTACAAAGTTAAATTAATATTTATATTCATAATATTTTTTATTTTTTATATTCAGTAAAATATTTATATTTATAATATTTGTAAATAACTAAATTTCATAATATCTTTAACAAACTATCAATTACAATATTAATTACAATAATTATAAACCTCTTTTTACCCTAGGGGCAAAATAGTAATCTTACCAATTAATCAATTAAAAACAATTTTTAACTATCACATCAATCAATTCACTCACAAACTTTCTCTACACTTTCTACTCACTTTTCCTTAATCCAAACAACCTCACTTTCCACTCACTTTCCCTTCAAATCCCTCATTTTCCACTCCCCCTTTTCCATCTTTAAAAACAAACATAACCTTAAGGTGGGAGCTGGTGTTTGTAATATTTCATACCCTTGTGATTTCTAATTTTAGTTTTCTCTTTAAGGCTTAGTTTATCTTTGTAAAAAAAATGTCAACATAAATTATTAGTTGTAAGGTATTCTTCATGAGCAAAAAGCACATTTTAAACTCTAAAATCATAACCTTATGATTTAGTATTAATGAAATTTAGTTGATGTAAGATTTTTTATTATATAAAAATAGATGTTGTTAAATAAAAGGAGGAATGTGTTGATGATAACAAAATTTAGAAGAGGAAAAGAAAATAAGTAAGTGAAAAAGAAAATGGTAGTATATTAATAGAGACTAAAACATAAAAAAAAAATTATTAACTAATGAATAGTTTCTAAATATATACTTAAATGTAAAAATTATACAAATATAAAACTTTAAATTTATAAAGAATGCATATATGAACCCCAAGCGTGTGGTTCAGCGATAGGGGTTAATTTACCTTTAAGCAAGGTCAGGAGTTCGAATCCTGCCTTATATATGCAGCCGCGTTAAATCTTGGGGCCAGCTATCTTATCCTTTGATGTTAATTAAACCAAACTCTTGAATTATTTTCATATACAAACACGTACAAACGTACAAATAAATTAAGATTTATTATTTGTGAGGTGGAAGCAAATGGATGTGTTGGAATCCAACAGAACAAAATTCATTGAGAAAATGTCCGAAAAGGACAGCGAAAACGACGCCGTGGTGAATGAAGTATCAGAAACCTTTCACCTTCCACAATCCCACCAGGTAAACGGCGGTGACAGTTGGTGGGTGGCGCCGTACGCCTCATTCCATCAATCGCCGTCGCCACCTTCCTAAAACGACGTCGTATCCACCACCCTTTCCTATTCCAAAAGAAAAACAGGGTATTCCCCTCGCCGATCGTTTCTCCTCTTTACTCTCATTCCAATTACTTTCAGATGTAAACACAATTCTCCTTCTGAACTGCACTCTGCTTGTTCCTTTTTTTTTTATGATCACTTTCCTTTTTGGGGAATTTTGCATTTGATATATGATATATGATGTATGAATTTTAGTTAATTTTCAGTTTTGGGGTCCATTGTATCGGGCACTTGGTGTTAAAGGTGGTCGATTTTCTAGGTACTCCATGATGGGTGGGAATTTATGACGCCATGATTTACTCTATGCGATCATGAGCTTTATGTGTTCTTAATGCTGTTTTTTCATATTTGAATTGTTATTATAATTACCAGAAGCTCCTTTTTATTACTCGTAGTTAACAGTAATTCTGGTTGAAATGGGGAAAGCTTTGTTGAGATAAGTAGGTCAATTTGAACAGGGGTTAATTTGTGTGTGGTTTTTACTAAGCAAATAGAATTTTGTTTTGTGATGATCGCATGGCTCGAAAAAGTTTCTATTATCAGTATCATGTTCCATGTCACTTTGAATATCTTTAGGTCTTTCTAGTTTAGTTATTACGGGCAATCTGTTATTTGCTGTTTTTTTTTTCTTTTTCATTTCTTCTATATAAACATAATGATTGATTGTTCTTTTACTTCTTTTAGACCAATGGCGTCTTCTTCAGACTCGTGGGTGAAGGAATATAATGGAGCACTGAAACTTGCTGATGATGTCAGCGGTATGATTTCTGAGGGGGGTTCATTTCCTGCATCTGGACCAGAAACCCAGCGTCATTCATCTGCTATAAGAAGGAAGATTACTATATTGGGGACCAGGCTTGATAGCTTGCAATCTCTTTTGTCCAAGCATCCCGGAAAGCATCCCATGTGAGTGTGCAGTTGTTGATTTTGCTGATTAAAAAAAGTAATGATGTTACAACTTGCAAGTTTACAACAGAGCAACTAGGACTTGGAACACTATGTATTGCATCTTCTAATACTTCACCTTAGCTCAATAAATGTTTTGACGAGTTTTCCTGATCTTTAGTACCTCTCTCCGACGATGTATTTAACGTTGTGATACTAAACTCATTATTGGGGGACTAGGCTTGATAGTTTGTAATAACAAGGAGATATGTGTTATTAAGCTATATTATTTTAATACAAGAGACAATGTTTTCTTTTCAGCTGTGAAGGTGTATGGTGACTTTTTCATTATTGTTTTATGAGGTGTATTTCACTCACTTGATGCAGAACTGATAAGGAGATGAATCGTCGCAAGGACATGCTTGCAAATTTGAGATCAAAAGTTAATCAAATGGCTTCCACATTGAACATGTCAAACTTTGCAAATAGAGATAGTTTGCTTGGGCCAGAAAGAAAACCAGATGCAATGACCAGAACTGTTGGCCTGGACAACAATGGACTTGTTGGACTTCAACGTCAAATTATGAAAGGTCACTACTCACTAGATTGGATTGTTTGAAAATATATTGCTTTTAGTCTGTTCTTTGCATCTTATATTGCATTGCTATGCAAGCAGAACAAGACGATGGCCTTGAGAAATTGGAGGAGACTGTAGCAAGCACAAAACATATTGCATTGGCAGTGAATGAAGAGCTGGATCTGCACACTAGACTCATTGTATGTTCCCTTCGTGCATTAATTTCATTCTTGTTTTTTATGGCCATTTTCTTTTTGTCTCCCTTCTAAAATTAAATCCTTTCTTTTTCATCTGGTAGGATGACTTGGATCAACATGTAGATGTCACAGATTCTCGGCTTAGGGTAAAACTCTTATAGTAACTTCTGTTGGGACCAAATCTCTTGCTTAGTTCTTATATATCGAAGCTAAATCATGTTAATATTATTGACATTTACTTACATTTTATCTTTTACGTTTACAGCGGGTGCAGAAGAACTTGGCAGTTTTAAATAAACGAACCAAGGGTGGTTGCTCCTGCCTGTGCATGCTTTTATCTGTTGTTGGTATAGTGCTTTTGGTTATTGTCATTTGGCTATTGGTCAAATATTTGTAATGTATAAAGTACCCAACTTGTCAAGCGTCTCCTTTTGTCTTTGTTTCTGATGTGTGCACTGAAGCATCATAACCGGGTTTCCGGGTTTCCTGATTTCTCTTGGTACTTTTCCAATGTCATGGAATTTGTTGAGGTGGTGAAAGGTGTTGTATTGTAATTGGCATATTCAAGTGTTTGTATATCTTGTGTTCTTCCCTTGTACAAATATGAAAGTTAATGTGTTACTGACTGGAGTGATGATGTGGTCGAGTTTTCACACATTGCTATGTTAGATTGTGCTAAAGTATTATGTGTTTGACTTCCATTAATATCTTGCAACTTCAATGTGCAACCACCATGAAGTACTAAAGTTAAATTTATTACGAGTCCCATTATATCATATCATATTTTTTTCTTCTTGTACAATTTAAGCAATTTTTTTTGTCACATCATGCAACTAGATTTACAGTTATTTCATAACTCTTAATATAGGTGAAGATATTATCATTAAGTTTGCTCTTTTTCATCTATAAGCGATTGCCCGAGTTACGAGGGAAGGTATGTTTGTTTGTGCCATGCATAAATGCCCCATCAACACCAAGTTACGTGTCTTACTTTATATTCCGTGGGGAATCCTGTTTGTTTTGATTTTTGAATAAACATTTGTCCAAAGACATAAAACAGTTCAGTGAAGCATCTAACGCTCATGTCATTAACTACTTACTATCTGGGGATGCCAATTAAGTTAGCTTGCTTAAATGCATTCTATTGCCAGCTCTTCGAACATTAGCTATAACAATTCCACAATGCCTAGTCATCATGCAATATCAGTTATTTATTACTTCCCTCGTGTGTTTCCACGGGGAGAAGGGAAAATCCTAAAGTAAGCGAATAAGAGGGTATTACTATTCATTTCTATGTATGTTAAATTGTTATCTTATTCTAGCATACAATTTAAGGAAAATTGTACTATATATATATATATATCCATTTTCGTAACAAGTTTGCATTTGAGCCACAAACACTTACACAATTGGTTACACTAAACCCCACGAGTAATAAGCCACAACAAATTCAACAATGTCAATATGTTCTGTTTTCATTTTGCTTTCACTTTTAATTTTAATTACAAAAATGTCACTTTGATTTCTGTTTCTGGGTTTTCAAAAAAACTGTCTAAAAATAAAAACAAGTTTTTTTTAATTTTAATTTCTTATAAAAACTTTGAGAAAATAAAATAAAAATAAGGTAATATTTTGTAATTTAAAATCAAAATAAAAACAGAAAACACATTCTCAAACTAAACAGGGCACACCGGAGGGGAGAGAACATCGAGAGAATGATATCTCACTAAATCAATTAAGCATGAAGATCATTGTACTACAGAATGACTACACTACAACGTAACAATTGGAAAAATTAAGGGTAAAACAAGTATGCACTTAAAAAAAGAGCTTCCGCGGGGGTGCTCTAGATTCAACCTTATTTGAGGACTTGATAGAAGGGGCTGACTTGCTTTGTTGGCCTTCGGCAGCTTTGTCAAGCAGCTTTGCAGCCCTTGGATCCATTAGCAACTTCTTCTGAAATGACTGCGAGAAGCCAGTTGCAATGATAGTCACGTGAATCTCCCCAGTGTAGCGATCATCAACAACAGCCCCAAATATAATATTAGCAGAAGGATCTGCCAAACTAGTCACCACCTAAGAAATTACACATGTTAAGACCAAGAGAAATACGAAGAGAAGAGGCATAAAATGTAGGAGTGAACCCAGTAATAATTGCAAGTAGTTATATCACACAGAAAAATGTGAAATAAAGCATAATATATTAATATGGTGCACAGACTGAAAAGAAAAACAGATCCATGAAGGAAGTAAACATATTTTCCTTTTCTTCTCCTCAAGTGAAAGGTAGAGTGGTTATCTAAAATTCTTGACTATATGAAATGCAGAAGAATACTTTATAATTTTAAAACATATTATAGTAACATGAATGCAAAAATATCAACATAACCAAATATTGCAGCACTCTACTTGGAAGTCATAAACGCTAAATCGAGCAACATTCTATGATTAGATTGTAAACCAAAAATGTAATGTTTACAACAAATTCACAAGAGCAAAGGAATATCAAACTGTTTCTTACGCAAGTGGTGATAAAAATCCTTGAATACCTGAGAAACCCTATTCACTTCCTGTAGGGTTATGTCCTTTCCTCCAGTAATATTATACACTACCCCAGTAGCAGACTGAATAGATGATCCGATTAAAGGAGCCAAAGTAGCCTGTTCTGCTGCTTCTTCTGCTCGGTTTTTACCAGAGGAAACACCTACTCCAAGCATTGCAGTTCCAGAGTCTCTCATCACAGCTTTTACATCAGCAAAATCCACGTTGACAAGTCCAGGTACCTGGGAGAAGGCACAACAGTTTATAATGTCCAGAAAAATAAATGCATGGGCACGACCTTGACATAAATACAAGCCAAAATGCACAATTATGAAGGAGAAGTGACTGAATGATCATACAAACAAACTAAGGAAAAAAGTTAGGTGGAGAATGGTTCAAGCTTTTTATTTATTTATTTATTTATTTTTTCCCTTTTGCAAGTTACTGATCTAATGGGATCAAGAAGGAACTTAAATCATGTTCTAGTGTCTGAATAAAAAATATGAATACATTGTTTTCCAATCAACTCACTGTAATAATGTCTGATATTCCCTGAACTCCTTGCCGTAGAACATCATCTGCAAGACGGAAAGCATCCTGGAGAGGCATCTGCTCATCAGCTATGTCAAGCAGACGGTCATTTGGAATCACTATAAGTGTATCAACATTTTTCTGTAGCCTTTCAATGGCTTCAAAGGCCTGAAGAAAATCAAATGAAAACTAGTTATTTTCTAAATTACAGATGACAAACTACAAATTTCAGATGAACCAACCACAGACTCTTATTGCTAGATAAAATAAACTACAGACAACTAATTACATACGTTGGACTACACATAACTGGGATAACAAACTACATGATCATGATAAAATAAACTACAAAGGAAGAAGATAAAGATAGTCGTATTTTTCATTTTTCAACATATTAAAGAAAGAGGGCTTTATTAATTAAGAGTAGAAGTAGCCAGTAGGTCAGTAGTCACGTTCCTAAACAATGAAAAAGACACCTACCTGCAAGGATCTCTTACGTCCTTCAAAACTGAAGGGATAGGTAACAACACCTACAGTCAAGTAACCTGCTTCTTTTGATATTTGGGCCACCACTGGAGCAGCACCAGAGCCCGTACCTCCACCCATCCCAGCAGTTATAAACACCAAATCCGATCCTTTAAGAGCATCGGCAATAGCTTCTCTTGATTCCTCCGCAGCTTGTTCCCCCAAAAGTGGATTCCCACCAGTACCTGCATCTCTATCAGGCAATTTGAATCAAAGGCCACCCCTCGATTTCTAAACAAAATCAGCAAAGAAACTAATAGAATGAAGTGACAGAAACAAATCACATGACAGTAAAACTTAAGCTTAATATGGCATTGCAGCAGAGTGTCAGGCCGAACACTGAATGTTACTTTAACATGGGAAAAAATTGCATAATTAAAAGAGTAAGGATCAAACTTAAAAAATAAAACAAAATTGGAAGACAAAATTAGTAAAATTAAAAAAGCAAGAGACAAAAAATTACAATCGCGCCTAAAATTAATTGCGAGAAAAGTGCCTGACCTAATCCACGAGTCAGAACTTCTCCAATTTTAATAGGGTTCTCAGCAGCAGAATGTAACAGTGCCTGAGCATCTGTATTTATCGCATAGAAGTCTACACCCTGATTGAAAATGCATCAGAATTCAACAATAACATCAGCATTATTCACTTGGTGGCAGCAAAACACAAAGTGTGGCTTAGAGAATAGTGCCACCGGCTACCAAGTTAAGTAACATTGGATAAAATAATTGAATCCAAAATTTGCAACAAAATAAAACAAGAGTAAAATAGTGCATGCACTTACAATCAATCACATGCATTAAAACCGCTAAGTTTATTGAATTTTATAATAATTATCTTGAAACTTAAAAGTCACAATAATTGTGTTGACTTCTGATTGTCAAATTCTGGATGCAAATTATTCTAATAAAACAGTGTCTCCACAAACAAGAAGCAAAGCAACAAAGTCATTACAACTAAAAACCATTAAAAGAACAAGTTTTTTTTTTTGTTGTTGATAAGAACCAAATATGGATATTCGAAATTGGGTGGCGAGCAAGAAACCGAATTGACGGACCTGCAAACCACTACCGATCATGCGATTAACGGCATTGTTGCCGCCGCCACCGATGCCGACTACCTTAATCTTGGCATTATCGACGTAAGCGTAGGAGCATCTGACGGAGGCGAAACGGCGGCGTTGTGGGGGAATGAGAGAAACGGAGGTTGTGAGTGCATTGTGTTGGATACAGGAGCACGAGAGTGAGAGTGAGAGCGAAGAAAGCTCGTTGGGGTTTGTGAGAGGATGAAGTATCGCCATTTTCTCTCTCTCTCTCTCTCTCACCTGTGTTCGCAACGGGTTTTTTAGCTTTTATTTTATTAGGGTTTTAGGGCAAAGTGGAAATGGAAAATTGAAGCTCATTACCCTCCAATTTTGAGTGGATTTAGTTCAATTCGTTAGATTCCATCATTATTCGAACCACGTGAAAGGACGCAATTTAATAACGGTTTACGAAAGACCCACGACGTCGTTTTGTTATGCAGTCTTGATTGCGTGTATCAAATATATATTATAACATTTTTTCTCTTGAATGCTACCTGCTTATTAATCTTAATTAGTGTAATAATTTATACTTTGTATAAGTGTTAGTTTATAATATATAATTAAAAAAAATATGTATCTAACATTATTCAATTACTTGATTAGATTTTTAATTACCTAAATCCTAAGGGCATTTCAATGGAAGCAACTCATTTGAGTTGTTTCATACATTGAAAAATGAAAAAAATGATTCCGAGTGTGTCATGTCAGTATTAAGCAACTCAAACGCAAATTTACTCTAATGATAAGAAACTTTAAAAAATTTAACTTTTATAATTTTTTTTCTAATTATTTATGAACCAAAATTAAATTTTTATTAAAAAGAATAATTACACTACAATGAAAAAAAATAAATTACGAAAAAAATACACGATAAATAAATATTAAAAATTAAATAAAGTAATAGTAAATACATAAATATTATACAAAATTAATTTTTATCATTATTATTTCTGAAACGTTCTCAAATATGTTTAATAAAATCTGGTAAGGAACGGTTGTTTCATGAAGTAACTCTCTTCTTTAAGCAACTCATGTTGCCATATCAGAGTCCTTCAATGACAAGAAACCGGGACTTGAATTGCTTTATGAGACAAGTAACTCCTATTGAAATTGCACCGACCGAATTTTCTAAATTTGCATTTTATTTTAGGAACGTTCTCATGCTCTGGATGCCACGAGAATCCTGCGAAAATTATTTTCCATTGGATGGATTTGTTGTGGTAGTGAGAGCTCTTTGCAGCACTGATAATTGAAATGTGTGGTTCCAGGACTGAGTTCCCAACCTTCCATCCAACTTGTGATTTGCTTGGTGAGTTGTGCTTTTTACGTTTTTTCTGGACTCTCTCTGATTTATACCTTGTATTTTTAATTGGTGTATTGCACAATTTTATAGTTTTTTTATCTATGAAATTTGATTTTGTGTACAAACAAAATGTTGAGCACTCTGTAGCATTGGATTCTATGTATAAAGGAATGATGAATGTTGTTTCTGTTGGCTGCTGGCATTACTATCATTTGTGAATTGCAATTAGGTTAAGGAAACTAAAACCTGTAACTAAACCCTTGTTACTGTTCCAAGAGTAAGTTGGGATAAAATTTTAAAATATACTAGTAGAAAAAAATATGAAGAAAAAATTCAGTAACTAAAATTAATTTATGATGTATAAATTAATATTAGTTTATCTAAAAATTTATTAATTTTCTTTTAATTACTTCATTTATAAATATTTTTGAAAAAAATTATTCAAACAAGTATAAAAGATAAGCTTACCACTTACCAGTTAGACAAATGAGAGTAAAGTTAACTTAGAGCCTTTTGACTAAAATTTTTCTAAAGTACTTCTAAAAGACTATAATAGGAAGAAAAAAGAAATAATTTTTTATCATTAGTTATAAACTATTTTTATAAAAGTTCATTCTTACTAGTTTTTCTAAAATTTTATTTCTTAAACTCATGTAGTAATTAATTTTAGTTTACAAAAAAATTATTTTAACTTTTCTTCGCATTTTTTAAAAATTGCTTTGAAAAAACTTATCTAAATATGGTCTTAAATGAGTAATTACTTTTTCACTGAGATGTCATCATTGGATTATTCCTTATGCATATTGGGCCTGCCTATTCTCACGGACCAATTACTCTGTATCTCTTGGAGTATTTCTTGTACTCAAGTTACATAAATTATATCCCTTTTGTTTTTTCGAAAAAAGAGAGTGCAAGTTTTGGTATGAAAAATAAAACAAAAATCTCATCGATTTCCGAGTCAATTCTATTGGCATAATGAAGATGATTTACTGTTTTAGTTTATCGTTTGAAATTTATTTAATAGATTTTTACACATTCTAATGTACTTTTATTTCATTTGATTAAAAATAAGTTACATTAAATTTAACTTTTTTTCAAACACATCTTTAATTGAGTTGGAGGATAAATTAGAGTGGATTTAAAAAATATATTTATATTTGATAATGAGTATGTAAAGAGAATTGTGAAAAATTAGAAATAGGTCTCATATTAATTTTTATATATCTTTTTTAATAAAGAAATTCTTTATATCTTTTTTAAAAAGGAAATTCTTGTAAATTTTAAAAAATTTGTAAAAACTATATTATAAAACGCAGATAGAATAATAATTATAAATATTACATTTACTATATTTCTGACTTAATTCTATTTTTTTAAATAATTATAAATTTTATTTTATTTTTTTACTTAATTTTTATTGAATCAATTTTCTTCTATTCTTTTCTATTTCTTTGTTTATAGAGTTATAGGCGGGATAGAAAATGAATGTTAGTATGATAATAAAGATATAGAAAGTCTAAAATAGATGAAAGTAACTTCTTAGAAATGTAAAGTGTTGTTTGTTGGAAAAATTGCAGTTGTTATACAACCCAATAAAATAAATGAAACCCTAAACTCTAAATCTTAAACTCTAAACCCTAAATCCTAAACCCTGAACCCAGCAATCATAATAAAAAATAGAAAGAAAAATTTAGAAACTTTAGTGAAAGAAAATTTTTTTTCTCCGTGTAATTTGCTTAATTTTCCTTCGCTGGTGTTTTATGAGCAATTTTTTTTTTGTTTTTATAATTAATCTACACATTAGTACACACTTCGATAATACAATTTGGGATTTCTAAATTATTGGTCCAAAGGTTCTAAATTGGGCTAAGAAGCTCAAATAATAGGCTATTGGGCCCAAATGGGAGTGCGTATAGTAAGTTACAGTAAATGTTCAATCAGTGGCCATGCTATTGCGTGGTGATCAAATCAAATCAAATTGAGAAGCTTCATATCACTGATACGACGACGAATTACGGAACTGAGGGGTAAATGTTGTGTCGTTTCGTTTTCACTCGCACGCAAGCCACAAACACGTTAACACCGCTTCCGATTTCAAATTTTGCTCACGCCATTTTCGTTTGTGTGATGCAGAAATTGATTTTCCGTGTTCAGGATTAGGATCTGGCACCACCGATATGGGGTTCTCGGTAACCACGTTAATTTTCGTAGGGATTGGAATCGTCGCGTCACTTTGCACCAGAATTTGTTTCAACAGAGGACCTTCCGCGAATCTGTATGCTTCTTCGTTTCTTTCTAGGAATTGTAGTTTCAGTCAAGTAATTCAATAATTGGTGTCTGTTGCTAATCTTACAGAAAATGAGAAACGAAATTCATAATCTGACATAGCTGATAGATCTGGAAAAACGTGAACTAGTTTTTGTTTGTGGATCCCAAATTTGTAATGTATAATTGAAGGAATTATTGTATTTTTTTTTTCCCGAGGCTGTGACAATGACTGATTTGCATGATTTAGATATGTTCAACATATTTATGATTATGCTGCTTTGTTTAATAGCTGATTCTGTTATCGCCTATGAATTTCGGACAATGCCTTATGAGTTTTACATTGTGGTATATTTATATTATTTAGTGCAAAAGTAAGTTGTTCCGGAGAAAAATTTTTCACTAGTGACTTTCTTGAAATTTGCTCTGCACCTCTTGCTCTATCTACAATAAATTTTCCTCTCTCAAAATTAGTGTTCTTTGCATGAACTGATATCTAACTACTTGGCTGCAGATTTCACTTAACTTTGGTTCTTACTGCAACAATATGCTGCTGGATGATGTAAGCAACTTTTGATTTGCAAGTTCTTTCAGTTTAATCTTAGCACGTTAAAGTTGTGTTCCATAGCTTATTATCAATTGATCAATATCCTGGCAAGGGTATTGATCAATTGGTTAAGGATTACTATACACTATTTTTTTTCCCAAATGAATAACTTCTCAGGCTGAATGTATCCACGATCAGTTCTGTTTGTTTTCATACCTGTTCTTTTGCTCTCCCATGACCATGATACTGCTACGTGAATTTTGGAGTACATTTTAGTCAAATTCCTTGTCGTATGTAACAGCACTAAACAAAATTAGTTGAAGAGGAATAGATGAACTTTTTATAAATCAGAATGTGTTTAAGCGATGATGCCTGGGCATAGCCTGAAGTCCAGAAGACTAAACATGCCTGCATTGTGTTGATGATAAACTTCTGTTCATTAATTCATGATTACATTTTCCTTTGGTTCAATCGTAATTCTAACCGGTGAATTGCCATGTCCTGTTTTATTTTCCATTAAGATTCCTTTCTTTTTGTGCTTACTTGGTTCTTCATTTGCATTATCAGGTGGGCGATTGTATATCTGGCACAGATGAAACCGCTCATAGTACCTATCCTGAGTGAGGGTGAATAACGTTTTTGCGAAACAGATGCAACTCTTAAGAATGTGAATCACTGGTTGGACTCTGGGGAGGAGTTGATTTCAGCTCTTATAAATCATTCAGTATTTTCTATGGGTGGATCTATATGTATTCTAGTTAGATAATGACGTTTCAATTGGATCTTCCATTACGGGTATCACCCATTTTACATTTGTTGTATTCAACCCTCGTTCATCCCAGATGTCGGTATATAGTGGTTAAGTATGTATTTTGGTAAATAAGTTGATACAATAAAATTATATCTTGGTTTTACAACCTTTATGAAAGAAAACTGATGAGAGGATTTATTCACGCAATCATGGTTTTAATAGAAACGAAGGAAGCTTAGGTAATGACCAATTATAATGAGACGTCACATATTAAGAAAAGAGCAGAGGAACTTAGGAAGAGACATATGAATACTGTTTCATTTAAGATTGAACTTTGTGTCTTAACATAAAGCAAAAAAAGTAAAGTAGTTGGACGACGCACGCCATGTTTAGCTTATTCCTGCATGCATATATGTCTTGAACGCTTACGCTCACTTCTGCGAAGGATGAACAACGTAACCTAAAAAGCATACCTTCATAGTATTAGCCATCTCAATAACCAAAAAAACAAAGAAATTCAAGTAATGAATAAGCTCTTAGAGTCACGTGCACCAAATTAATGAAAATGAGCAAAGAAAATTGTTTCTCCTTTTTATAATTGAAATAATTGTTGAATAGAAAGTGCTATAGAAAGAGACCCATGTTTAGGATAATTTCTAATTAAACTATCCAAATTATGAAAACATATTGATAGGAGATAAATATGATACCCATAACATGAGAAACCATATATTTTAAAGATGATAGAAAACTTACTTCCACAGTGGGTTCCGGAAGCAATTGTTACTCCACAAGACCTGACTACCTGGACAACTTTATCCATGCTGATCATAGCCTCAATGGTACTATTAACATATTTACAGGCGCAGGGTAAATCAATTTGTTTTATGACATCGCAGCAGTCTTGGGATGGTTGAGTCTTAGAGCTATCACCCTTTTTTATGTACTCCCCACATGAGTCTGCAATTTTACTAAAAGCACCTCCACATTGAGCTGAAATGCGTGGAATGTTCCTAACTGCTACAATGCTAGCAATTAGCACAAATATTGCAAACACCAAGTTGCCTCTAATTGCCATCCTCACTCACTACAACTTTCAACCTCTTTCTAATGGGATACCAGATTGCTTTGCTAAGACATGGAGATTTGAGGTCATATATATACGATCATGCGAAGGAAAAAGGTACATTTATTTATTATAAATAATTTATGACTAACCTACTCCGAAGTTTACGTATGGTTATTGAAATGTGGTTCTTTAGATATTGTCACTTTTTTTATTTATTTATTATTATATTAGTTAAAGTTAAACACAAACGTTTCAACTACTGTTACTTCTAATCCTTTACGTCGCCAAATTTCATGAAGAAAAAAAAGTAAGATTTTAAAGTGTCTTCAATTTATTTTTTATTTAAAAAAACAGTGTTTTTGACACAATTTTTATTATTACAAAATGAAAGTTATATATTGTTACATTATATGATATATGTTGCACCCTCTATTTAGTATATCTTACATTTTTATTAGTAAGAAATAAATGCATTTTATTCATTATAACAACGAGAATAAATAAAATAAAATAAAATAAAATGTATAAAACATTTATTATATTATAAGCGAAAAAATAATATTAATATTATATTAAACATTCTTTAATCAATATCTTTAAAACACTTGTTATAAAAAATTCCCATATATTATTTTATGTAATTTAAATATTAATGCACGAATTTCGCAAAGTCAATATTAAATAACAAAAAATTCAATCAATAAATATTTAATCCTGAACTCCAAAAAATTAACTTTTATCACGATTAGAGTGAAGTATTATGTTAAAATTTGGGATATTAGGAGCCCTAATAAAGAAGGTAAATGAGGGAAAATCATATATATATTGACATAGTTTGAACCAGGGTTCATTACGTGTGCGGCTTTGAAGCTTAAACTTAACTTTTATTCTCATTGAGGACTTTAAAGTGGTGAGATTAACTAAATATTCTAATTTTCTTTTGACATTTTTCAAGGTAATGTTACCATACGTTTTAACTTTACAAATGTTTATCAGAATGTCAGTTTTTTTTTGCCGTCACGAAATTTAAAATAGCAAAAAAGAGCGCAGTGACTAGATTTTACGCGGGTAAATACTCATACATGAAGAAATTAAAAAGCAATGGTTTAATAACACTTTTTTTCTTTCCAAAGTTTTACAATCTCATCAATTATGCTCTCAAAGATTTTTCTTCCACAAAATTTTATTCCTCAATTTATAAAAAATTACAAATTTTACCTCCATGTAAAAAAGTTATAATGGTTTAAAAAAAAAATGTCCCAAAATTACCTCCATGACACAATCGACTAAAGGCTCATGATAAACACACCTCCACTCTCTTATAAGCACACCCCCTTTTAAAAAAAATATATATAAAATGTCTAAATTACCCTTAAAAAAAAAATTCCTAAATTTACACCCCTCCTTCCTCGCACCCCTTTCCCCGCAAGCAGAACGGGTCGTACTGTAAGCAGAACGGGCCGTACTGCAAGCAGAACGGCCCGTACTTCTTTCAATACGGCCCGTTCTGTTTTCAGTGCTGGCCGTTCTGCAGCAAAACGGGTCGTACTGTTTTCAGTACGCCCCGTTCTGCAAGCAGTACGTCGCGTTCTTCAATCAGTACGGCCCGTTCTGCTTGCAGCAAGGGCCGTTCTGCTTGCAGCAAGGGCCGTTCTGCTTGCAGCAAGGGCCGTTCTGTTGCAGTACAGGCCACCGCGTCACTTTTAAAATGGCTACCTTATGACTGATTTTAAAACCCCGATTTTAAAAGTTATTTTTGTACTAATCTTTCTTTTCATAGAACAAGTAAGAGTCTTTCTCATACAAAATCACTTGCCGACATTGCGCACCCCTCTTCTTTCTCTTTCTGGCACTCCTCTTCTTCTTCTTCTTACTGTTACGAAAAGTTCTTTCCGGAATTATATAAAAATGTTCCGGAAAATACTTTCCATAATATTAAATTCTTATTCCGGAAAGTATTTTCCGGAAATATTTTGTTATATAATTCCGGAAAGTATTTTCCATAATATTAAAGTTACTATTACGGAAAGTTCTTTCCGGAATTATATGAACAATAATTTCTATTCCGAAAAGTACTTTCCGGAATGCTAATGACTGTAAAAGTACTTTTCGAAATGCTATGACTGTAAAAGAACCTTTCTTATGCTGATTATGGTGGGACTAGTCCTTTTTTTCTATTCAGAATGACTGTAAAAGTATATTGCTTAATAACATTGAGCGGAAAGAGGCTTTGGGAAGAAGAGGGGTGTGAAATGTGGGGTGCGGGGAAGGAGGGTGGGGGAAGGGAGGTGTAAATTTAAGAATTTCATTTTTTTTAAAGGGTAATTTAGACATTTTATATTTTTTTTTTTATAAAAAGGGGGTGTGTTTATATAAGAGTGGAGGTGTGTTTATCACCGGCCTCGACTAAATTATTGAACTCCCTAATGCATCTCTCATATGCGCCTTCACGCAACAACGGTGGAAAGAAGAGCCATGCAGCGTAGACGAGAATGTTGGAGAGGCCCAAAATAAGATCCAAAAAGAGATAGATGAGGGTGCAGTAGAGAGGGAGAGTGATAGTGGGGTGAGGATTATGGATATTGAGGGCGAAGAGGATGAGGAATTGAAGGAGAGAATGGGTTGGAATGAGAGGGCCCAAATGGAAGAAGAATAAGAGGAGTTTGAAGTTGGTGAGCCAGGTGAAGAACAAGGCAGTCACACCTGTTGGGAGGACAGTGGAGAGATGGAGAGGTAGGATGCTGAATTCGTACAACACAAAAATGTTAACAATATATCTTTTGATGTTTTAATATATTATTCATTTTCAAAGTATAATTTTATTTTATGCAATTAAAAAAACAAATACTGCATGGTTGGTCACTGGATTTCCAAGTAAAAAATACCCAGTTTAGAAGTGCTGCCGATGTAGCAGGTGAACCCGCGGACCCACCACGACTTCTGCCACAAATATTTATATTATTTTAATCAAAAAAAAGAGAAAAAAATACACGAACAATTCTTCTATAAAAATTTTAACTTCGATTTTTCATGTCCATCAAGCACCAACGCGTTAAAGCGTAAAAAGAGTCTAACGTTGATGACAATTATTAAACCTAAACCAAATAAACAGAATAAAAATTCAAAGTTAAATGAGAATATATTAAAAAATTAGCTCGAATATGTAAATTATTATAAGCCAAAGGGACTGAATTTGATTCTTATTGAAAAGAAAATGAACATGTGAAATTGTTATAATAAATTTCTGATGAAGACTTACAAAAAAAAAATCTAATTATGAAAAAGTGTCGAGAAATACATGCTAGCCCGTGTTTCCTAACCTAAATACAGTTAAGGCCAAAACTTTAATTGTTGACCCTGATCAATTCAGAGACTTGTCTGTCTTCTTGATCACGATGCAACATGATTGTAAAGAAATAAAGGAGAAAAATAATATAACATGTTGTAACTACTCATCGAGCCAACCACACGAATGCTGGCGTGCATATTCACAGTTAAGAGCAGGAGCAAAACAATGCATCCCGCCACCATATACAGGTTTGGGTACGCTACTACTTCTACGTCCACTTTTACTTAATGGACGAGTTTCAGAAGCCAGAGAACTTTTGACAAGTTTTAATTCGCATAGACGAGGTTCATATTGTCCAATAACTGGTATATTCGTCTTACAAGATGACTCTGTTTCTGAAACATCTTGCTCATTATTACTTCCCAAGGGGCCACAGGAAGGATTATGAGCAACCTCAACACGTGGATATGCCAAAGTAGATTTGGGCTGAAGAGCTTCATCTGAGGATTTTCCATTGACTCCTCCCTCAAGAATTTTATTTAGAGCCTGCCTTTTGGCTGGTGGGACCGCACCTAGTTTTTTTCTATTATTTTCCTCAATATGTTTTCTCTTCCTTGGTGACTTGCCAGTCCTACATTGCTGTCCCTTTTGACTCTCTTCGTCAGCATTACCACAATGTGAACTTCTTTGCTGGCCTTTCTTAGATGCTTGATCATCAGCAGCATAATTTGCATCCAGCATGATGTCAGCATAAAAACTTTGTGTCTCTAATACTTTATTCTGGCTGCACGCATGACCATGCTCTTGGGCTATGATCTTGTGTTTAATAGTCCAGTCAGGACGGCTCCAAAGAGAGAGTAGAAGCGGCCTTTCATTCGTTTGGTCCACTTGTGTGTCATTTACTTCAACTGATCCAGGCAGATAAAATGACTGCCAGGAACAGGAAAAAGGAACGTCAGGTTACGAAGGACCATGCTTCCATGAAACAATAACTTACTCACAATGAAACTGCAATATACATGAGTGTGAGGGATCCACTTAGTCTTGGGGTTAAGACTTGATAGTTGATACGCTTACGTTAAATTTCATATAACTTTAAATTGATCAGCACTTCATAGAATTACTTTTAACTAATGATATGCTTCTAAAATATAAACAAATATCAAGTATTAAATTAAATACTTATAAATGTCCAATTGATCTAAATTTGACATGCATGATCATCACAATATAATGACATGATCATCACAGTATTTTGACATATTAGTAGAAATTAGGTGAGTGTGTGGATTCACTACTCACTTTCTACAGCATGATTCAATGGTTAGGTTGTTAAATTTGCATTTTACAAAAAAAAAAAAGCAATTCATTGTCGTAAGTGCATGCAGGTATAGAGAGAGTCTAACCGTGCTTGACAGAAAATTCTCTTCCTCCCATATAAGATCGTACGGTGATGGTTTTTTATCAAGCCTGTGACAAGCAAGAAAATAATGGTGAAAAGGTAAAAAAAAAATGTTTTCAATAAAAGGAAGCGATAATTCTAAGGTAGTGTCAGGAGGCTTGTATGAAAGATTGATTATTTGATTTTCCCATCATTGAAAAAAAAAAAAAAAAGACGAGAAAAGGGGTCATGCCTCTCTGTCTCTGGGGGTACAATAAGAATTATGAGCTTTGGTTTAAACTCAAGAGCCTTATCTATGAACTTGTTAGCCAATGCTGCTTTATGCCCAAAGGGTGGTCTGAGCCCCATGATCTGCTCAAGAAACAAGGGAAAAAAAACATTAACTAGTGCATTTTACATAACCATGCACATGCAATTAAAAGATTCTTACCAACTGCGACCCTGTTGGCAACTCAGTTGGTTGGACAGTCATCCAATCTCTCCTTTCAAAACTAAAATCATTCTGTTATTGACAAAAGAAAGCCCATAAAGAAAAATAACAAGATAACCAAGTGCAAAATCTTTAACTATAGTCTAATTTTTCTTCATTTACTAAATATAGGTGAAATTATAATAAATCATTATAATCAAAACATTAGTTGTCTCCAGAACCATGTACGTTTCATCTTGAACTGTACAATACACACCACAATCTAGCTTCTACACAGGCTTTTATTATTATTTATTTATGTCCACAAAATATTCAAAATCATAAAAGCCTTCAAACTTCAAATGAAAACAGCATACCATCAAAATAATATTCCGACCTCTGACTACATGCTTACATATGCTGTCTAGTTCCTAATAGCTATAATTAGACATCTGTCCATAAATCAGATGCAATGACATGACATGTCCTTTTGCTGAATATATTGAGACTGGAGTACAAAGCACATAATCCTACCCAGTCAAATTGCTGCTCACCAGGTGTCAATGCAATAGTCTATTATTCTTTATCCATCGATTCAATGAGAATGATCATTATCAATGTAGATAGAAGAACCAGAAAAATAAAAAATAAAAAAGGTTAAAAACCTAAAGATCGTACAAAGAATGCTGAAATTTCAAAAACAAATGACTATAAAACAAATATCCATAAACACCATAGTTATATACGTGGCAAACCAAGAAATATTCAAAGATGGTATCTTCCAATACAATGGGACAGCAGCCACAACAGATTTATGAACAGTAACTATAGACGTAGCAAGAATACACTCATACATGCAGGATTCAACATTTGAAGGCAAAAAAATCAGTCAATTTAGAATCAATCACTGCATAATGCAATGTTATAAAGAAAAAATTTAATTAAAACAATTAGAACAATGAAAACTTCTAAAGTATATGTACCTTTGTAGGAAGTAAATCATAGTTTCTGTATGAGCATTTCTTCACAGTTTCCTCCAGCTTTTTCTTCATAAGGATGCTAAAATCATTAGCACCACAGCAGAAGTCCACAATCTGACCATCAGTAACTTTGACAATCAGGTATTCAACATCAAGAATCAGAAATAGATTAATAACATCAAGAATGGTCATCCACGAGACAAATTTCGCACGGAATATCAGAAATTTTATAGTACAGAAAATTCAAGAAGACTCCAGAATAAAGAATATATTTGCTAAACTAAACTACTAAGATCAATATGAAAGATTAGAGAAAGAATTGTCAAAAGGCAGCAGCATTTAGTTCCCTTGAATCATTACTAGAAAATAAGTAAACAAAGAGTTGCAACAAATTTCCCAAGAAGAAACTATAAACTAAAGATTGGTAGAAAGCCGATTCAGTTATTATCTTCACACAGACTCGGATAATAAAAAGGAACAACTAACAACAAAGTTTATGCTAATGGGAATGAGAGAAAATAAGTGCACAAGTACAGGAGTGCTTACCATATCACCGTTCTGAACATACCAATGAAGTTTATCAACAATCTGCACATGTAAAAATCATTCTTTGAGCAATCCTTGATGGATACATAGGTAACATGCATATTAAATGTAGTTGATATGAAAACAATGAATCTGTCAGCCAAGATTGAAATTCACTTGAACATGATAAATAAGTATGGTCATATGCGAGCAAGTTCCTTTGGTACCCTTTGCTTTTATGAGGGAACCAGTACATATAGAAACTAGTAGCCATCAATTAAACCCAAATAAACCTACATACAAAGGGGACATAATTATAAAGGCAATTTTCGGGAACCTCCTTGATTGGTCATGCTTTGGCAGAACAAGTCCCCCCTCATAACAAGTGACCATTAAACCCAACTTAGAACAACCCGACAGTATCAAGTCTAACATTTTTAAGGCTTCTCTTTTCCTTAAAAGACATTGGACCAAACACAATTTCTGAAAAGCTCTTAAAAAGTTGAATAGCTTAATATTTATACAAGAAAAAGGGGGAAAGTAACTTTTGAAAAAGCTGGGTGAATGAGCTTTCAATAAAAGCTGCATTGCCTACCTGTTTCCCTAACCTCCCTCTCTCTCATATGCACAATTACCACCCAACAAAAATTGATTTTTCAGGATTTGATCTACAAACTCATTAAGGTAACAAATCAGTAAATTGTAGCCAATCTGGCAGGAACCATTTCCTTATTGGAATCCACAATTAACCTAGCTGCAGCAATTTGAACAATCTTCTTGAATGCAAAATGCAGGTAAATCAAGATCATAACCCACAATAGCATTGGATGCACAATAGGGTCTTGTAACAAAGACAATGGTTTATCCCAATTATGCCCACCCCCAAATCAATACAAATTCTAAGTTCTAACCATCATCACTGCAACTGAAACCCCTGCCACCATTACTGAAGAGGAACCCCTTGTTCCCAGCATCACTGGGTTCATCATCCATCCCGCATTTGGTTGGTTGTTTCCTCTGGAAATGTGTCAGCATGTTACCCTGTCTGTAATGCCAAGCTTCTATTTTCTTTAACAAACCAGCTTAAGCTTACTATTTTTTCTACCCATGATATCTGCCTCACCTAGAAACCCAAAGTTGATGCTCAAGGGAAGTCCTATATCAATAATATGCTTTAACAAGAAAGGAGGGGTATAGAAGCTAGATATCACACATCCCCAACCCAACAATACCCAAGGATTTAAAGAATAGAATAGAAAGATATAGTACACGATAGTATCAATGGTACAGAAATCCAATGAAGTTGATAAAAGAATAGGAGATAAAGTTGAGTGATAATATAAGTAGGTACCCTTTCCAGCTTTTCCACATGTGTAAAATGGCATATGATGTATAACGATTACCATATAGAACAGGTGCAAGATATATTTTCAGCTTGTCCTACAGGAAATTCACTCAATGAAGTTGTGGTTACTGACTACTAAATTGAATCATCTCTAGAAAAAACTCGAAATTCTTCTAACCATCATCAATTTTGTACAATGACAGGAACATTGGTATTACATCAAATGATCATATGCCAAAGCTAATACTCAAGAGATTGTCTATCTTACAATATAATGTAATTATGTAACCACGTCAGTTTGTTTCAAGATTTTATAACAATCAATTTTTAATGAAGCAACCTCTCAATGGAAAAAAGAATTCACAACTTTGCTGATTCCTGTACATCTCTGAATAATACTACTGATCATAACCACCACCAAAAGGGCAATGCAAAAAGAATAAGAAACTTAGGCAACAAATAAAAAAGACACCAACCCTTAATCAATAGCCTTAGGCTAATGAAAGGCCAAACATCAATGGCATTCTCCCATGCCTGATCAAGTGATCAACTACATGAATCAAAAAACTCCATCAAGTCTATCAAAAAGCCAAACCCTAAGAATCTCAAACTTTAATGAAACAACCATGAAAAATACACAAGCAAGTTCACACTTTACATCAATAAGTTGTCAATGATTATTATGCATAAAAACTAACTTGCTTTATTTTTATTATAGTAGTAATAATTATAAATGTAGGAAGTGAATAGTAAAGCAGTAAGCACCTTCCACATAAATATCTGTTTCAGAACATCAGGGTCACAAACAGCTTTTACATCCTGAATGCTGCACCCGTTCTCTAGCTTCCTTAAAGCTGATCGAACAGCCTGTATATACACATCATAAAATACATAATCTTACAAGAAATTCCTGAGTGAGACAACATAGCAAAAAATATATAAAGATATCTACATCAACCGAGTCTTCCAGCTTCTCCATTGTAATGGTCTTCTCCACAACATTTTTCAACGACTGAGTATGAGTAGAATCAAATGTGTGTTTTTCTAAGATACTCTCCATTGTAATTGATGATCTAGCTTCTTTAAACAAAGCCAACAAACTACAAGGACGAAAACAGCTCAAGTAAATAAGTTCTTAAAAATATTATAATGGCAGCTTCAGCTTTCAAGTTTCAATCAAGAATCCAAGAGAATTCTGTCATAGTGTTAAACATCAAAGAAAGACATCAAAATAAAAAAGAATCAATAGCAAAGCAAGATAATAAATATGAAGTCAGACAGATTTACCTCTTTTCTGAATCAGCATCTAATGGAGGCAATTCAATACTCAGCTTTCTAACAGGTTTGAGAGCATATTTCTCACCCAGTGCAGGCTGGTTATGGTTTTTCTCAGAATCAGGCCTTTCAAATTTCTTTGAGATTGGCCTATTATTTTCAGTTGAACACTTTCTTGATGTTTCTTTCAATTTCGGCTTTCTAGAGATATTTGAAGCAGAAATCACCTTATTAGACTTCTTGCCATCAAATTTGTCAGAAGACACTTTTCCAGTCAATTTAGATCCCTTAGCAGTGCTTTTGCTAGATGAATTATCAAAGTCAACATTTTTCTTCTTCAATATAGCCCTCTCTTTCGATGCAGGTTTCTTCCGCTCAATAGTATTTTTAATTTTTTGAACAGTAGCTTTTAAATTGGGGAATTTTATATGATCTCTTACAGGAGTCCCAAGTTCATGATCAATCTCATGATTTCTGGTCCAAGTAAAGGTAAATACAATTACATAGGGTATTATCAAGCACAAATTGAAAAAAAAAAATTCCATTTAACACTTACAAGCAATATATAAGTATGCGGTTATTTGGTAAAAGACCTTCCCAAGCCCTTTGTATACCTTCGTCACCTTTGTTGCCAAAAGCAATTTCTCTAATAAAAGCAATTTGAGATCAACACTTTAGACACTATCAATTAGAATTATAAATGAAGACAAGAAACAGATGATAAGATAGAAATACCTTGGCAAACATTTTCGATGATATGACTTTGGACATCGTCTACAAACAGCAAATTGCAACTCAGGATCCCTCTTATTTTCCAATTCTTTACAGACACCGCAAAAATGAAGGGGACAGGTAAAAGGATCCCCATCAGTAATATTTCTCTCAAGTTCCTCAGCAACATGCTTAACTACCTGGGAGAGTAACTTTGCAACACAATGTGGATGATAAAAACGGTCACAGGCCGCAGAAGAACATTTAATAACCTGCAAGGTGAATTTCCAAAACAATTTAGTTGCATGCCTTACAAGGAAGCTCTAGAACCCCCCCCCCCCCTCCCACTGTCCTCCTTGTTTCTTAAAATCAATAATATTTAATAAATCAATGCAAGAAAAAACAGAATTGAAACAAGATAACTAAAAGTTAGACTCAGTAGTTCACAGAAACTCATGGTAGGAGAACAATGACAGATAACTATAAATTTTGAACATCAATTTAAAATGATTAAACCTCAATGTTTTCATAAATTGTTAACATTGCAAGGAAATAAAATAAAATAAAAACTGTTGAGCTATTTTCTTAAAAAAATTAGGCTTTTTTCATTTAAGCAAGTAACCTCATACTTTTTGATAAGGATTAAATCATCACAATTCAACAAAATTGAACAATATACCATTGAATTAAAGGAAAAAGTGAAAGATTCAAAGGGCATGTTTGGCATTCCCCCCTAAATTTGTTCAATGACTAGCTAGAGAGGTGTTGGCCCAGGCTCCTAGCAAGTCAAAGGAACCAACTCCGTCCTTTCATGGATCAGCCAAATCATTTAGTATCTAGCCTGCCTGAGCTGGAAGGTTTATAAAGAAAATAAAACACTACTGATTCAGAAAATAGGACTTCCAAATTCACAATTTGAATCTTGACTCTACTACCATGGCTAAAAGCTCTTTCCCCACAATAAAAAGTTGTAAACAACAAATAATTTGTATTAAAAGGACTATAAAAAATAAGGTGGCACATTCGTCCACAAAAAATATATGAATGAACCAAGCAACAAGTAAAGAGAAACTATTTTATTTGGCAAAGCTATACCTCAGCACCTTTAACTTTATCAGAAGACCCCAGCTTGCCACATGCAAAGCACTGGTGCTGATGATATTCACAATTTTTACAATAAAAGTTCTGGATGTCCTGCAAATTTTTGCCAAAACCCAGAGTCAAACAAATTTCTACATGATTATATGAAGTGTAAAAGGACAAGCAAAATATAAAAGAAAAATAACATAACATCATCTTACATCAACTTCTTTCTGGGTAAAACCAAGAGAAACACAATTATTTTCTCTACCAGCCTCCACAGTTGCATGAAATGACCTCATGCATACTCCATCACAACTGCATTTATCATTAAATAACTTAAAATTATAAAGGAAAACTCAGATACTATTCTACTATATGGCAGCAAATGAAAAATTCATGTAATTTACTCCAAGAAATTTATCAAAATTATCTTTAAAACATATTGTAGAATCCATTAATCAAATAGAGTGAGGAAGCAATCTTAGAAGATGTTTCCTGATTTTGTTACTATTTTGTTTGTTTGCTTCCTTTTGAGATTAGGGTTTGTATTCAAATCTTGGTGGGCTTTGCTCTTACTGGTTTTACCATATTAGTAATCATGTACTTGATCACTAGTATAAATAGAACCATTGTGTTAGTATTTTGTATCACAGTATCAATATGAAGTATTATTCTGCATAACCTCTATTCCAACAATTCTTGACAAAATTATATGCAGTCAGATACGTACACAGGACAGAGACAGATCATTAAAATTAATTAACCCAAATGGAAAAGCACCATACCACGTAACATTACCACCATTGTCACAAATTGCACAAACATCCAAATCATCCTTTTCTTCTAACTCTTCATTATATTCATCTATCATATCTCTGTCAATTCCAACAACTGTAAGTTCAGGTCGTGTCACATCATTAACTTCCTGAAATCAAGTAGAAAAGACTCTTACAAATATTATAAAAAATACATAAGACTGGAATAAAATGCATATCATCTTCATGGATGGAAAAATAATGATGAAAACAGACCTTATCAATAAGTTTTTGACTCTTCGGTTTCTCCAAAACCATGAGCAAGAACTGATTAAGTCATCATGAAATTGTCATTAAAATGAAACATATAAGTTGGGAACAATAATCAATCCATATCCAGGAACAAGGAGCAAATTAGAAGAAACTGAGTTCAATTGAGCAACATTTCATTGCAGCATGCAAACTCTTGAGGATAAAACAGTATCTGAGATCAAAACATCTTATCTAGTTCAGTGTTACAAACAATCCACTTCCATGAACTATTTTTAAACTATAAATCTCATAGATACATCATCCAATACAAGGAACAAGGCAGGATCATATAGACTCCTTAAAATGAAATTAAAATGAGTAACTATGATTCAAGATATTCCCTGATAAGCATTCTCCATCCTCTCCCACCAACAATGTAAATCCAAGTGGTTCAAAAAATAGTGCGAGTTATGAATTCCATCAATTAACATATTCCCCCATTATGTAAAGCCTTGACAGATACACTCTGTTAACAACCTACTTTAAAATTTAATGTCATTTACCTAAAAAACTAAATCATTTACTTGAACACATCAAAAGTGTACAATAATATAGAATCATGTCATCTGTACCTTTTAAACCAAGAAGATACAGAGCAGTTAAATTGTGGAAAACATTTTCTGTTTTTTACTTTTAAAAAATATTTTAGCCAATGCATTTCACAGTTTAAATATTTATTATATATAACTAAAACTTATAATAAATTTTATATACAAATAAATACTACATTATAAATAGATATTTTTAAACATGTAAATTATATTTGAAGTTTAAAATAAATAACTTATATTGCAACACAATTTTTTTTTTATCTGTTCATGATTTATTTTAAAATATTAAAATTTATTCATAAATAAAAATAAATTGAGTTAAATAAGAAGTTAAAGAAAATCACTAAAAATCCTATTGTCAGAGAATAGTCCCCTAAAAACGCTCTCGTACATGATAACAATTCGTGTTTAATATATCGGGGTTGATTATAAAAATGTCACATTGTTTTCACTTTGTTTCCTGTTTTCAAAAGTTTATATAGTGAAACTTTTTTGTTATTTTCTATTTTCAATATTTTGTAAACAAACTTATGAAAAACAAGATAACATTTCTGTAAGTAAAAGCAAAAACAGAAACTAAAAACAACAAACATTTTTTTCAACCAAATGGCCCCTTGACCAAAATCAGACACGGATGATTTACATATTCAACTAATTGAAATACTCTTTGCAACAACTAACACACTTTCAACTCCGTAGCATTTAATTAACTTATTGCAGAAGTATACAAGTATAATGCATAGTTATAATGTAGTTGCCCGTGCTTCCTTCTACCACATGACACCAACACTGACCAATACGCCACCCCACCTTCTCTCTTTTGTGCAACCAACAACCACCCATCTCCAGTAGTATTTCCAGCAACACCCACCCCCTCTGGTTCTTTTCTTAGCTCCAAACTCTGAATCACGTCTGTTCTGTTTTTTTTATGTGACACCTGCACTCGCTTAAAATGAATGTTCTTAATTTGATTTGTTTCCTTGAATTATGGCACTATTTATTTAGGTTTTACGAACTCTGACTTTTTATTGCTAATTATAAATATGCCATTATTGAGCAGTTTTTTTTTAATTTTTTTTAGCATTCATATGTATATATTATGGTATAATTATTTAATTAGTACAAAGAAATTCAGAATTGCAGTCATCCCATTATGGGTTATATAAAGTATTTTTGAGGTTGACCATCATGCGCTGCTATCAAAGATTGATAACTAGGGTATAATAATGTCAAGCTCAAACAATATTTTGAATTATTAATTTCCAAAGGGTGCTGAGGATGGAGAATAAGAAAATAATAGTTCTCTAGTTTTAGTGTTCAACACTGCAATGTCTATGCAGGGATGGATCTACATACGTCTACCAGGGCACAAAATATTTCTAAGTAAAACATACATGTATAATTACAAATTGTCCCCATAATTTGAAATGCAATAAAAAATCAATTTATAATACAAGTATTGCCCTCAGAAATTTACATACATAATTATTACTCCCACAACATAAAATTTCTGGATTCATCATGTTCATGGAAAGAGAAATACAAACCTTGGATTTAGCTAAGACAGCATCCCTTTTGGAAGCTTCACGAATCAAAGGCAAATGGTCCAATAAATCTTTTTGTGAAGGCTTAACCCCATAAGAGCTAGAAATAATTTTTACAGAAAAAAAAAATCACGAAATGCAGTTCCACATAAGCCACTATCAGATAATGGAAGTTTAGCAGGAAAAAAAAAATACCTCAACTCCTTATCCTTACACAAGTCTTGCCAAACAGATGCCGCAGACATTTGACATTTTCTCTTGACACGATGCAGGAAGTGAATGGTGATCATAATGGTCCTTATAGTATCCTGAAATATCTTCCTGGGCTTTTGAAGCTCGATCCACTTTCCATCCTTCGATAACAAGAATATCTCGGGTCTTGTACAGGAAAGATCAAATCTCCACGCCGTGACTTGCGTGAAAAACTTCCGCAGCCCGTCATCGACAAGCCCCTGAAGGAACACCTTCCCTGTGCTGGCATCATCAGAGTTCTCAGAATCACTCCATTGAATTGGCAACGCAGCAAAAGATACAGGCGTGTCGTCATCGTCTACAAGGTCATAATCAGACACAGAGAGTGATTGTTCCTCAGCCTCAGTCCCAGACTCATCATCTGAAGATGAAGCCCTACCCCTCTTCATCCCAAGGCCTTCTAAGTTCTAAACACTACCAAAAACAACAAAAAGAGAATAAAATGAAGAGTAGTTGTTAATGCAAACGTAAATAACGAACGTTTAGGGTTTGGAAAGTAAACCCCTCCGTTCCCGTATGTGAATCACCGGTGAAGGAGTGTTACTAATTGCGACATGCAAATATGCAATGGTAGCAGAAATCAACAATGAGAATGGAACAGGAAGGGAATCGAGTTGGAGAAAGAGGTAAAACCCTAAAATCGAAAAGAGAGAAGAGAAAATAAAAAGCGAGAATGGTGGAGCAACGAAACTACCTTGTGACGCGAAAGAGAGGAAGGAGTGAAACGGAAAGCGAAAAGCGGAAGGAGGAGAAAGAGAAGAGTGTAGCGCAGCGAGGAGTCACTGAAGAGTGAAAAGCTTAACGGAGAGTTACAGTTAAACCCTTGGCGAAGATTTTGGCGCTGCGATCTTCACAGAGCGTTACGAATCTTCTTCCTCGCTGGAACACGAAAGCATCGCCACGCCACCTGTCTATCTTTTTGTTTTCTGCTACCAATGTATATATATATACCCTTTCCCATACCATCTTTTTCAACGCCCTCTCCCCAATATATAACTTTTATAACTAAACAAATCTTTTAAGATTATTTTACTTTTTAAATTATCTAATATTTTAACTTTTCACTAATTTTTTCTTGAATTAGGTAATCTCTTTCTTTTTATTTAAATAATTGAAAATGGAATGTTTTCCTTTCCGTTAATATAAATAAGATACGATTCTTTTATCTAATCATTAATCATTTTCTATTAATCAATATATTTATCGTCTTAAGGAAGAAATTCAGTTTTAAAACATCTATACCTTTAAAAAAAAAAAACAAGTTTTGATAGCCATTTTTTTAGTTTTCATTTTTATATTAGATACTATTACTTTTAAATTTAATAAAATTTATTCTTTCAAAAATAAATATATAAAGATACAAAGTATCTCTTTTTTTTTTAATCAATATTGGATAAATTTTCTCTATTTTTATCATATATGTTTTATAAAATTATAATAATATAGAAATATATTAAAAATAAGAAATTTATTGATAGTAAACTTAATACCGTATAGAGCATAAGATATTATCTTAATATAATAAATTATGAATGAAAAAATAATGTTTATATATGTATATATAAATATTATTTTTCCATGGTTTAACCAACCATTACTATTTCAAAGTCTCAATTGATGATTCACTCAAATATTTCTGATAAAATTCAAATTATTACAAGATACTAACAGTATGATAATTGTATATTAATAAATTTTATTTGAAAAAGAAATACAGATTGACAAGTGATCTTGACAGATTGTAAAAAAATAAAGAAAATATCAAACGAATCAACCAAAAAATCCAAACTCGTTTAGCCATTCTATCAACAGTGAAACGATGTCAAGGTTTCCGAATTGAGACATTCAAACAGCATTTCATCTTTTCCACTGCTTTTATCAGCTTTTTAACCCTTACAATATTTATATGCTTATCAAAACAAAAAATTCTTTTATGTTTATCTGGCACGATAAATGATCATCATTGTTGGTTGCCATCATAAAATGAATGACAAAATACAAATACAATAGTGGAACCTACTTAAAATGCAATGAATTGATCACTTACAATTTTTTCTTCCCCTCCAAATTTTATTCATTCTGATCCCTCTCCAAAGAACAAATATTTTTGTACAAACTATTCACATCTAATATTCTGTAGGTTTGTTTACATCCGAAACTTCCTTTTAAGGTTTGAGACTGTGGTGGAGCTTTGCAATGTTATTATATTCTCACTTCTAACAAAAACATTTCTCATCTTCATGCAAATTAGATGTCTCATAACAACGAATCTCCCCCAGAAGCGACATCAGACTCAGGTTGTGAAGAAGAGGCTGTGGAGTCTGAGTTGTCGTCAGCATCATCAACACTCAAGTTGGAGAATTCACCACCAAAGGAGGAACTTTCATCTTCACCACATACCGAAGGTACCGGCGATGCTTCTGGCGTGGTGGTAGTTGCAGTGCCAGCAGGTGAAGGAAATGAATCTGTTTCTTCAGGCTGTTGTTCCAGGCTCCAATACATTATACTGGCTGTTAGAGTGAGAATCATCTTCTGATTAACCTGCCATGAGATCAACAGAGTCAACATCATAAACAAACTCAATCCAGAACATGTCAACTTACATCACTTTTACTCGAGTTTTCCTTTTTTATTTTTACCTTTTAATCACAAAATTGTCGCCTTGTTTTCAAATATTTGTATAGGAAACACTAAAAACAACCTTTTTTTTCTGTTTTATATACAAATTAAACATTAAAAACAAAGTGAGAATTTTGTGATTAAAAGGCAAAAAAAGAATATGAAAACACAGGTGAATGGGGCCTTAATTTTTCGGTATCTTTGCCATACTAGATGATGTGTATTATAAAGTTCTGTAGCAAATGTGAATGAAACTCTCAGGTGGCAACCATACCTCCATTATATCCTCAGGTAACAAAAAGATGGAACAACCAAGCTTTCGTGCAACACTGATTATATACGTAGCATTCAACCTTTTCTCATCATCTACAATAACAACATATTAAGCCAATTTAGGAGGGATGATAAAAAAAATAACAAAGTTATCACATGATATATCCCTATAGAATTAGTCAAACTCAAAATGTTAACATTTGAAAGGAATCGTACCACTTCCACCCTTGGTGACAAGGTTCCAATTGACAACCCTAGGCTCAACAGCACTCAGAAGCTCAAGGAAAAAGAGTCCACTTGACAAGCTCTTATCCTGTACATAAAATTAGATATAAAAATGTGTCACTAATAAATCATCATTTTATAGTTTACTGTTCTAGGGCATTGTTAACAGCAAAATAAAACACAATTTCTTTTGGAAAAAACCTTGAAGCTCTCTATGTGAGAAGTTCTGCCAATGCTCTTCACTTTTCTGTTTGCCCATTTCAGGATATCAACATCACTGATCTCCTTTCCTTGGGAATGAGATCTCAAATTTTTCAACAGCTGAAGCATTGTGAATCTCATCAGCTGCCACAACAAAGCTGAAAAATAGAACAAATATTTTAGACCAAACAAAAAGCAAAAACTAATAGGTGTGCTCATAACATTTGCGTGGAAGCTATGATGAGATGAAGATATTACCAAGAATAAGCTTCTTATTTCCTTGCACAATGTCATTGCCAGCTACATTGACAAGTGAGAATCTCAGTTCTGTAGCAATTTCTATGACCTGATTGCAGTTTTCTACTTTTCTGAATGGCATTCTAATTGGAGGTCTTGTTGCCTGTTTCCAGTTAACTGTTCCTGGAAAAATCTTGTCTAGCACTTCTAAAAGTATCCATCTACATGCAGAGAAAGTAAAAGGAATCAAACACATAAGAACTTGGTGAGTTTTATTTAAAACTAGTCTACTAAATGCAATTTAAGAAAAGGAACACATACCCATTTCTGACATCCTCAAATAGATTATTTACATGCGTAGAAATTCCAAGACTATTGATCCACAGTCGAAAGCATCTCTCTTCTCTAGATGTTTGCACATCATCGGTGATCATCTCAGCATAGGACATCTTTTTAGTATCTGTCGATAGACCACTCCTGCATTGTGTATGGCCCTAATTAAATAACTACACCACTTAAAAGGAAAAAACGGATCCAGAAATCAACATATACAATGCTGCTAAACCAAACTATTCTGAATAGCAAGAACAAAATTGTGGATTGATTAGGTCAATCATATACTAGCTTGTGATATTATCTCCAAATAAAAAAGAATATATTGTTTGTTTTTGTGCCTGTGTTTACAAACACATACCATAAGTACTTCAAGATAACCAATCCACTAAAATGCTTGATGTCAACAAGGAATGTTCTAATGTGTTATAATGCCCACAGGCTACCCTACCTACGAAAGAATATTCCACTAAAGGAACATACCGACCAAGGAATCTTCCACTAAAGAAAAGTGCACATGCATAGGACATTTATTTAAATTATCAAATAGTCCACATAAAATTAACTATACAATTCATTTCATACCTGTGATGAAACAATTGTGCAACAAATGCAAGATTCAAATTTGAAGTACCCTCCACAACATCCCTTGGGGACAAGTATCTTTTGCAGCCCATTCTCTCTGCATGATCAAGAACCAGATTCGCCCTTTCATTGGCATTCTTGGTATCCAAGGTGGCTGGACTGCAATGTTCAGGAGCAAGGACATTAAGCAGATAAGCATAAGCCTCTCCATCCTGTAAATATATGGGAGCGAACACATTAGGATAATGGATATATAATAGCTTGATAATTACATATAAAATTAAAATGACAAGAATATATTGTCATTGTACAAATTTATACTTAACAATACTCAAACTATTAAAAAAAATCCTTGAATTGCATTTATTTAGTTGTACTCTTAAAGATCACAAAATTAACATATCATAAATGAGTCAAATCCTAAGCATAAAATGCTCTTGAAAAAGTGCTCATATACCTTAACATCAGAAGAAAAATTTCTGACAGTTTTCTCATAACCTGCTCTCTGGAGATGAAAATTCATCCATTTTAGCAGAACCTTTTCAGGAGATAAATTAAGAAGCTCTTCAATCTCCTGTGACAACAACAAAATGCAAAACACATCAGTTATCTTAAAACAGAATGGGTAAAGAATGAAACAGTCAGTTTGATTTAATGGCAATGAAAAAAAAATGCATATCTAGTTACCTCGCTGTCATCAACCAATTCCACAAGCTGAGGTGTCTTCTTAAGATTGAGATCTGCCAGCAGCTGAATCTGAAATTACCAAGAGAGTTGGCGAAAAGAGAACAATGACTAAGTAATTAGTTTCTTAAGTCAAAAGATCTATTAGGTCATTGAGAAAAAAAGATGTCAACATATAAGCAAAGTCAAATAACTAAACTAAACTGAAAATAAATGAATGATATATGCAGTTCGAATATACCTTTATGATTTGGGAAATCAACCCTAGAACAAGATGAGGCTGCAACATAAACAACCAAACAATAATGTCACAAAGGCTAAAAATTTAGAACGTAGGTAAATGTTGGTAGAGGAATTTGTGGAGTTCAGATTGCTAAACTTACTCTTCCTTCAACTAAGTCCTGTGTGCCAATGTTAACCACCGTGCAGCCAATAGCCTTGGCGGAATTGAGGCATAGCGTATGGTTCTCATTTACCTCCCAAAGACTAAGTTTTCGTTTGGCATTGATGGCTCGCTCATCTATGGTCCCAGGCACAGCAACATTGATAAGCTTACTGCAATCAACACGACATATATCAAATCCAGTATATATTGAAGGCTCATACAAACAATTAAAATGCAACAATCAGCAGACCCTGCTTATATATATATATACCACAGAAGAATGCCATCTTTTGCAAGATCAAAAATATCATTTGTAGGTGGGTCCAATGGAAGATAATGCTTCAAAAATGGATCATCACCAAGGTAGCTGTTTATGTGGGCAACATAGCAGGCTTTTTCTGATTCACTGATTGTGTGAAGAAGGGTGGTTATGGAATCCTTGAGGAATGATGAGGAGTGCCTCCTACCACCTTGTTTTGCTGTAGCTTGGGTTCGCAAATTCAAATATGCCTGCATGAAAAATGTAATTAATTGGAAGGTTACCTACATTATGTAACATACATTATATTTAATGTTATATAGCACATGATCTGTTTCACTTCTACAACTAATTTTAACGTAACATCCTTTTATTATAACTTCACAACATGGAAAAGTTATCTAATCTAATAACATTGAAAAAGAAAGAGTCAAAGAAGCCAAACTACTAACCTTTAAGAAGGCTTCAAAATCAATTTCATTGGTAATGTCAGTCCCTGATTCACCCAAGATCCCCCTAATCTCATCCTCCTTGTACATGTCTCTGAATGCGTTTAGCTTCACCATTAAAGGTGGCAAATCTCCAAATGTAACTTTGCCATTCTGATTCTTTAAAGAGACAAACTAGAGCACCAGAAAGAAGACCATATAGGTAAAAAGAAATAATGAAAGAAATCAAATTTAAAAGAATAATGAAATTGGACCAAAAATATCATTACAATTTACAAGGAAAGAAGCAATGAGATGAACCTACTTTTGATTTGAGGCTGCGAAGCTCAACCTGCGTGAACTGGCCTTGAAGCAATTGATCGGAGACAATAACACCCTCAAATTTCGACATCTTGGAGAATCACTAAGCAAAGATAAAACTGGTATCTATCCCCAAACTACGAAAATTCCAAGAAAAGCTTAAACTTATTGTAACACAAAACAATGCGTACTACTCCACAACCTATTGCAAGATGTAATTATACAGGGTGAAATTCAAATATAACGACCAAATCTACAGCAAAGCATAACAAGAAGTGGTTGTTCTCAATTTAACTCACGACCTGTCCAACGTTACCCTGGCAGACAGCAAAAGCAAAAAATAAGCTTAAAAAAGAAAAACAGCACAAACACAACACACCAAGGTTGTTACGTTAGTTACAGAAAAACAAAAGCCCCATCATTAAAAAATAACCAAAAACTAAACTCCATCAAACATTGAAGAAGGGTATGACACAATTGACATGTATGAAACAATTTTCGAACGAATGAAGCAAGTCTTATTGGCATTCAGTTATTTACCCCTCCCCCACGAAGCAAAATCCAGAGGTGAAGGTGGAGATCGAGGAAGAAGGCAAGAAAGATAAGGACTTGAGTAAGAAGCACGCGGAAGCAGATAGCAGTACATTGTAGGAATTGTGTTTTGTTGAAGTGAATGAGTGAAATTAATGATGAGGACATACCCACACATAAAACCGAGGTATGGGTTGTTGTTTGAATGTTCAACCACCGTTCGTGATTTCAGCAAGAAGACAATGAATGAAGAGAAGCGTATGAAAGAGAAGAAAGGATCGATTTTTCTTAGCGGGTAGGCAAAGTGACAGAGAAGAGAACCCGACCGTGTTCGTGTGACTCCGCACAACTCCTGTGACTCTGTTTTTTGGGCGCGTGGGCGAGAGTATGAGGAGCTACTCAACTCGCTCTCTGCTTCCTACACGTGCCTCTCTGGTGTATAGTTATTTTGGTCTTATGTGGAACCGACTTTGATCTAAATTTGGGTCGGTTGTGATCTCACCAAAATCGAACCGTCATTATGGTGGCCATGTTCATGCTCACAGCTGTGATTCGGAGTGGGACCAATTCAACAACGCATTACGTTACGCCACATTATATTATTATACTATATAGTTTTTGTCTCCGTTATTGTTATTCTTATATTTAATTATTCATGTTGCATCAAATCTCGTGTTCAATCTTTTATCCAACCAGATTACATTTTTTTTATGGCTTGGGCAATTTCATCGTGAATCTGTTATTTCTTATTTTATCATAAAGGAATTAGATTAAGAATATTTGGACTAATGAACTTTTATCAAAAAATCTGTTGTTAGCTTTTGCTGTGATATAAACAGGTGAATGATACTTTCTTTTTTCTTGATAAAGTTGGATAAAATTAATTTTAGGGTTTAGGGTATGTAATTATAATTTATAATAAATTATGTATAAATAAATATCATATTTAAATATATAAATTATATTTAAAATAATGTAAATTGATATTTTTAAATATATAAATTATATTTTAAAATTTTGATAAATAATTTACATCTTAGCATAATATTATTTTTATTCAATATTTACTTTTTTGTTTTATTTTTTCAACATTATTTAAAAATAAAACAAGATGATTCATCTCTTGTTTGAGCTAAAACCCTCGTACATAGTAATCTGGTTAAAAAGTGAAAGCAAATTAGCAAAGTATCTAAACCAATACATAGTACTTATACTTCTATGTTTTCTGGAAATATATACATAACATTCTAAAATTTGGAGTGAGTATGGGTCTCATTAGATAATATTTGATATAAAAAAGTATTTAAACTTATTTTTTAAAAACTTCAGTTAGGTTGATAATATATATCAGGAGTGTGGTCTTTCTTCTTTTTCTCAGGAAAAGAACATGTTTAACTCATTTTATTGGGTTGTTATACAACAGCATTTTGACCAACAAACAACACCTTAGATTTTCTTATTTTGATATCGTTTAACTTAATAATTAACTAATAAAACAAACCCACATTGATTATTCAGAGTATAAAACCAACCATCTTTTATTTTTTTCATATTGGTTGCAAATTTGCAACTGTATGTTAATTTATTAAAACTATAGAAAAATTAGGTTATAGAATGATCTCTCATATAAGCATGTTAATTGTCTGATTCTTGAGAGTGATAATTATTGAGTATCCTTATAATTGTAAAAACTTTATCATATGGAAATATTATTCGCTTTTTAATGTGTTGTGAGATTTTTTAGAATATGATACTAAGATTTTTTTTATATTATTATAAAAATAATAAATATTTACAACAATAACACGAGTTGTAAAATATTTATCAAAGTAGCACATTTTTACTTTCCTCGTAACAAATCTAACTCCCAATATCGATTCCTTAAAGGAGTTTTTTTAATAACTTTTTTTTACAAAATGTGTTGCTGAGAAATCAAGATTGACCACCCGATTTTCTCAAAGCAATTTTCTTTTACTTTTTTATATTTTGATTTTTTAATTATAGTTTATAATTTAATTTTTCTTAAAATTAATTTAAAATATGAAGGGTAATTAAATAATCGGTTAATAAATTATTATTTTAAAATTAATTGTTAGACATTTAAAAAATATTAATTTAATTAATTAATTTAAGGATAACATTAAAAAAATATTATAATTTATCCAGTTAAAAATATTTTCTTTTTAATTAATTTATTTTAATAAAAATTAAGGTGATAATTAAGTAAATGGTAACTAATTATATAATTTTTTAATAATTAATCTCACAATTAATTTAATTATTTATGATTAACTAGTGTTAAATAAATTGAAAGGGATAACAAATTTTTTGGATTAAAATTTTAAAATAAAATTACATGTTAGTATAAATAATTAGTCATTATAATGGTGTCTAATTTCACAAGGTGAACTTCATTTGTTAGGTCATGGATTTCAACGTGATTCTCTATGTTGTTGGATTTGATTTTTTTCAATATCAATTATTGACTGTCGTTAATGTACATCCTCTAGTGAATTTAAAATGATCGAAAAGGAAGACAACAACTAGTAATTTGAATAAATAGTACAATATAGAAAAGCTATTTAGCTCTTGTTGGTTAATTGGTGGAACATTAATTGGGTATATACTTTGAAGATAATCTTCGATTGATTAATAGCGTTTCAAGGTTCGCATCAAACAAAATGCTGATAAATTATTTTCCTTAGGAGATTCAAGAGAGCTTCGATGATAATCCAAATTATCTGTGGACAACTATTGTGATAGACCGAATGTAAATGAGTGACAATACACTGAATTATGAGATGGTTAATTGCTTTGGTTATGCATTATATTGATTACAAGAGGGTTGAGTTGCCTAATTATAGTTGGCCTTTGTGCATGCCATTGTATGTTGCATTCAACTCTTGAGTCGTGTAATTGTTGTTATATTGATAGAAAATGAATGAAATTGGCATAATATCATTTCATGTATTCACGCATATGCATGAGAGGACCTTGGATAATGTGCATGAGAGGACCTTGGACAGGCATTCCCACTAGGATTTGTTGGGAAATGGATACTCTAACTTTATGGAGGGAAAGTTACGCTAACTTAATGCATTTAAACCGTTGAATTTGTAATAATAAATCAGATTATGACACATGTACATTTAAGTCAAAATATATTTGTACACGTGTCACAATCTAATTTATTCTTATAAATCTAACGGTTTAAATGTATTAAGTTACCATAACTTTGATATTTCAAAGTTAGAGAATCCAAATCTGATTTATTGCCGTCTATTTTGTCAAATATCGGGTCATTACATGTGTGTTCTTCCTAATTTGTGTAGTGATTTTCTCTCATGTTCATTACATGTGTTTCAGCCTAATTTGTGTAGTGATTTTCTTTCATGTCCATTACATGTGTTTCAGCCTAATTTGTGTAGTAATTTTCTCTCATGTCCATCTAGTGTAGATAATACAAGTTTTGTGGTGAATCCAAAATATCTTAACACAATTCAAGTTGTAGTTGGATTGTATCCTATCCAAATTTAATTATTTTTCTGCCTAATTTTGTGATAAATATCTCAATCAACTAAGAACATCAATAAAATAATTATAATTTATATTTATGTTGTACTTTTTTCTCATATAATTTAATGTATTTCAATTAATGTCATGAATAAATTTTATTCTTTTCTCTTTTTTTTTTTCTAAAACATAATTATTGAATTTCATAATCACCAAATAACATTTTTAATCACTAACGAGCAGTACAACTAAATTAAATTAATTTTGAAAAGTATAATCCTAAAATTCTTTAAAATAAAAATTGATTACAAAATAATTTTTCATTTACTAATGATTTAATTATCTTTCACAAATTAACTTAATTAAATTAATTGTAAAAAAATAAATTTAAAAGTGAAATTAAATAAGTAAATAAAAACACAAAGTTGGTTTGAGAAAAGCGGGTGGCGAATCCCGAGTTGTCAACAATTGGTTTTGTGAAAACAAAATTTTGTCCGTTGATGAATTGGGAATGGAGGCTGCATTTGTTACAAACACAATATGCATAAATTGTTAGGTCCAGAGTAGGCTTAATAGTTACTCACAGCTAAAATAAGAGATGAGTAAAAAAGAGACAAGGGAGAAAATAACCACAGTAAAAATATTATTTACTGAAAGGGAGGAAATTACAACACTTCTCTCTCTATAACTTACTCCTTTGACTTAGGAGACTACTACTACCGAGAACAGATCTCAAGGTGTATAAGAGAGGAAGAGAGAAGAGAAGAAGATTTGGGATGAAAATTATGATTTTCAGCTTCCCTATTTATAGGAAAGTCCCAATGGCATTTTCGTAATTTCTCCTAAACTTTTAATATTATTTTATTATCATGTGGGACCCGCTTTTAATTT